CTAATAAGCATCTCCGCTAGACTAGTCCCTAGTGTCTCAGCTCAGAACTGAGCTCAGGCACTCTGCCCCCACCCGCCCTTACCTGTCTTTCCCTCTCTGTTCTGTTTCTGATAATCCTACCACTCTCCTGTGCTCATCGTCTCTAGAGTTTTCCTTTTAGCTCCTGCTGCATAATCACGGCCCAAGCCAGCGTGGGATCCTCCTCCCTGCTCAGCTGGATTCCTGCCCTGAGCTCCTAACCAGTCACGTGGACGACACTTGGACTTTCTCACTTTAGCCTTCCTTGGAGCTCTTCTGCCTCCTAGACTGTGCCTACTCTTCTGCACCTGACTCTCCAGGCCTCCCCAGCTTCCCTTGCCCTTCTGCCACGTGTCACTCGTCCCACCCAAACCAGATGGCTTCTAGCGCTCCAAATAAGCCGTGCCATTAACCTCTGTGCCATGCCGCCCCGCAGTCTCAAATGGTCCCTCTGTCCCTTCTCCCCTCACACTTCTGACGCTGACTCAAAGAGCTGGGGCTTTTCTCCCACTTTGCCCTCATATCCACCACCAGAGCCTGGATCAGCTCACCTTCTCTTTTCTTCCAGAATGCCAGACACACTCGTTTTTCTTACTCTTCCACTTCCTTGTTGAACTCTCCTACCAGACTTGGGCGGGTGTGTGTGTGGATGCATCAGTGTCCTTGCACGCAAAGGCCAGAGGAAGGAGCTCATTTTTCTGCTAGACTGACTGGACAGCAAGCTCCCCCAATCTGCCTGTCTCTGCCTCTTAGGTTCTGGGGTTACAGGCATGGGTAGCAATGTCATTTTTCTGTTTGATTGGTTGGTTTTTGTTTTATGTGGGTGGTGGGGATTCAGACTCAAGCCTTTATTCTTATACTGCAAGTACCCCACTGAGTTTCATCTGCCCGACCTTTCTCCTACCAGATTCTAAAAGACTTGCACCTCCAGCCACCAGTATCTGTGGGAGATGGGTTCCAGGACTCTCTGTGGATACTATAGCCCATAAGTGCTTCAGTCTCTGGGATAAAATGCTGGAGTGCTTGAACATAACCTGTGCTTGTTCTCCAGTATCCTCTGCTGCTGCTGCATAGCCTCCAGGTCACTGACAGTACCCTGGACTGTGTGCAAACATTATGCAAATGGTACCCTATGTTATTAAGAAATAACACCAAAGGACAATCTGCATGTCCTCTAGAGATGCAGTTTTCTCTGAATACTTTCGGTCGGCAGTTGGTTGAATCCCCAGTTGCAGAGCCGTGGCTGTGGAGGGCTGGCTGCGTCCGTCTCCAGAGTAGAGTGGAGCGCAGAGCACCCAGGAATCTATTTTCTTTTAAATTAAGCTCCTGGAGGGTTACTCCTGCTTCTTCAGTAGTCTGTCTGTGCTGCTGTCATTCCTGGTTCCTCTCCAACCACCTTCCTGTCTCCGCCTCCAGCTGCTCCTGGGTTTAAGGGACCTCCACTGTGTGCAGAAGAAGCTGCCTTGCGTCGGGCCCTGGAACATGCAGATGGCGATCACAGCTCGCTGATCCAGATTTATGAAGCCTTTGTACAAAGTAAGTGGCTCACTCTACACCCTCAAAGACTCCCAGGAAATACCCAATCAACCAGCAGACCTCTCTGTGTGTGCAGGAAGAGGAGGCCCTCTGCCGGGGGTCATTCTTTGTGCCAGTCTGAAGGACTTAATCATAGCTGTTTCTTTTCTTCTCCTAGGTGGAGCCGATGAGGTTTGGTGTCAGGCTCGGGGTCTGAACTGGGCAGCATTGTGCCAAGCCCGTAAACTCCGAGCGGAGCTCGTGGAACTCATGCAACAGATTGAGCTTCCCCTGTCTCAGCCAGCCTTTGGCTCTGAGCAGAACCGCAGAGACCTTCAGAAAGCGCTGCTGTCAGGATTCTTCCTCAAGGTTGGGGAGGGGGCGGAAGGGAACTTGACAGAATGAAAGGGCGTTTTGCCCGATGTGGTGGTGCACATCTCTAATCCCAGCACTCCGTGGCAGGCAGAGCTCTCTAAGTTTGAGGCCAGCCTGTTCTACAGAGTAAGTTCTGGGACAGCGAGGGCTACATAGTGAGATTCTGTCTCCAAAAGGAGTGAGGGCACGGCTGGAAGGTGATCTTAACAGTTAAGGGCTCTTATTGCTCCTCAGAGGCCCCAGGGAACCCAGGTTCATCTTCAACTCCAATTCCAGAGAATTCGACATTTTTCTAACCTTCAAGGGTAGGCACATGGTGTGCATACATATGTATGTGCAGGCAAAACATTCGTACACATAAAATAAAATAAATAAATATTATTTTAATTTTAGGGAAAAGATCAAAGGCCTGGGGGGGTGTCTAGGGGAAGAGCTGAATAGGCTAAGCACCTTGCTTCAATCTCAGAGATAGATTTGGTCCCCAGAACTATGGGTTCACTTGTAATTCTGCCACTGGGGAGGCAGAGACTCTGGGGGGGGGGGGGCTGGGTCTGTCTAGCAGCCACCCTAGCCTGTTGGCACTTTCCAAAATGGTGGGTGGCACCTGAGGAATGACCTGAAGATTCACACACACGTATTTCCATGAACACAGACAAACACACATGATTTCTTAGAACTAAGAATCTAAGGGTTAGAGGACAAGGGGCCATGGAAAATGCCATATGGTGAAGCAAGGACCAGACCGCAACTGAAGATTCACTTTTAGGCTCCACTATACTCTTAATCCTTTCATGCTCTCATTTTTTCTCCTCATTTCTTCCCTTTTTTTTCTCCTTGTGTGTGTGTGGGGGGGGGGGTGTTTGTTTGATTGTTTTGTTTTGTTTCAAGATAGGTTTCCTACGTAGCTTTGGTCCCAGACTCACAGAGATCCACCTGCCTCTGCCTCCCAAGTGCTGGAATTAAAAGTGTGACTCTCCTCCTCTCTTCTTAAAGGCAATGATAAGACAGGCAGGGTCTCATGCTGTCCAAGCTGACTTCAGACTTCCTGTGTAGCTCAGGCTGTCCACAAACTCCTACTCTTTCTGCCTCTGCGTCCCTAATGCTCAGATTACAGTGTGTGCCGCCACACCCAGTATTGGCCTCCTTTTCTTTTCTTTCTTTTTTTCCCTATGTTCTGTTACTTATTCCATCCATGTATTTGTATTTCATTGAGGTGGCCCAAGACATAGACGGAGCTGGAAATTACCTGCTTCTCACCCACAACCACGTAGCCCAGCTGTCTTCATATTGCAGCTACCGAAATCGCAGGGCCCCACCACCGGCCTGGGTGCTATACCACAGCTTCTCCATATCTAAAGACAACTGCCTTTACATCGTCTCTGAGATTCAACCTCAGATGTGAGTTTCCTGACCCCCACTCACCAAACCTAACACTGGGAGGGGGACTTAAGAAGAGGGTTTGTAAAGGGGGCTGAGGGGAGACACATAGGATCTCATTCTGACTTTCTCCCACAGGCTGGTGGAGCTAGCCCCTCCATACTTCCTGAGTAACTTACCCCCCAGTGAGAGCAGAGACTTCCTGAATCAGCTGAGAGAAGGAACTGCTGAGGCAGAGCCATCAGCAGAACCTGAATCGTCCTCTCCTCGGGAATATGGGGATGGCTGTGTTCTGCAGTGAGCTGCCTAAGGAATGGAGCCAACCTCACCGCACAGCACCAAGGCAGTCGGCCAGTCTTAGAAACCCAAAGTCAAATATACTCCTGGAACCCAAGATCCAAGACACAGTGGGTGGGGAGAGAACGGGAGCCACGGTCCAGAAGGACGCAGACTTTTCTTTCTCCTTTGTCCACCAGCAAAGGAGCAAACACTGCTCACTCCACACAACCTTGCACTCTTCTAGGGGCTATAAAAGCTTGTCCTATGATGCCAAGTTTGAGTTTGGTTCTCCAGTGCCGTATACATCTATGAGTTAGAGATGACACTTTAGAAATGACACCGACCTCTGCAGGTGCAGCCTCTTCCCCCTTTCCACCTCAGACCAAGTCTTTGTGCCGCCTGCATAGCTGTCATTAGCACAGAACATGGGTGGTCTGGCTACCATAGGTCTCTGTCCTTGTCACAGTGTTCCAGCCTCTGCCAGAAGCAAGATGGGATACTGGAAAGAGACAAAGTACCCTCTTTAGACCAGAAAGCTTTGCAATCCTCCCACCGACTGACTATCAGAAAGCCTGCGGTAGCCTTTGGGTCACCTATACTCTGAAGTCTTTCTGATTTTTCATTACATCGTGTGTGTGTGTGTGTGTGTGTGTGTGTGTGTGTGTGTGTGTGTGCATACACGAGCATGCCATAACACACATACAGTGGACAGGACAATTTGTAGAAATTAGTTCTCTTCTTCCAGCAGGTTGGTCCTAAGGCTCAAACTCGGTCAGGAATAGGGGCAAGTGTCTTAGCCTGCTAAGCCATCTCCTCTTTCTATCTAAAAGGTGTCATGTTTTCCTTCTGTCTGGGTACTCCTTCCCTCCGCCCTTAGTCTATTCATTTCTGAAGTCACCACCATCCCACACATTGTAAATGTATCTGTGGAATACCGTGAAAAGAAAGGTTTAATCCCTGGAACCCCAGAGTTCTCTCCCCTGGAGATCCTGGTCTCACCGATTGTCTCCACCCCTATGCTGTCAGAGAGCTCCCCCAAAGGCAGGCATCCGGAATCTTCTCTCTAGATCTAGCATTAGTTTTCCCTACAGTTAATCTTGCCACAGGTCCCCAGTTTCCCCTCCTGGTCTACAGCACCAGACTTCCTGACATCCACATCGCCAGTCTTGGATTCTTAGGTTTGCCAGTCCCAAAGTATACCTTGGTCACTCTAACACTGGACCCATAAACTGTCCAACTGGCTTCTCCTCTTGGTTCTCTGACCCTGTATGGCACCGGAGCCAGATTCTCCTATATTTTTATCCTTTGAGTATGTAAGTAGCTATCTTACCTACAGTATAGGTGCAGTGTGACTCTCAAGATGGGGGAGTGGCCCGCAGGTTAGACACATGACAACGTGTAAGACTGAGTCAAGAAGGAATCCTTAGCGATTGTTTTACCGTTGAGGGGATGAGGTGGACAATCTGGTCCCTGTCATAGTCAGCCACATTCGCGCGCGCGCGTACCAACACCTCTTCCATTACCCCGATGTCCTTGAGATCTTCCTTCACACCAGCTCAGTGGCCCCTTCCCAGTGGAACCTGAGCTCTGAGCCCACTCTGGGCAGAATCGCAAGTGCATGGCAGCATCCGTGCCCCATTTACTACATCCTGCAGCTTGCCCTCGCGACCCAAGTTCCAGCGGGTCCAAAAATGCAGTGGAAGGGCAGAGTCAAAGTGCAGGACAGGGGCCGCTTGGTGGCCGAGGAGCCTCGGAGGACAGTCGCAGGCCTTCTGCTCCACACGGTCCGCTGGCGGCACCGCACACTGCCGCGGTAGCGCTCCTCGGGAAGGGGTCGCTCACACCACCGAGGCGAGTCCGGACACCGAAGCCACCTTGTTGTCTTCGGCCCAGGGCTGCAGATTCTGCAGCGCGAAGAGCGAAGAGTTGTGCAGGCAGAGCGGGTCCGGGGGCAGCGGCGGCCGCAGCGGCCGGGGCAGTGCGTCCTGCTGCAGGTGCAACAGCAGGCGACCCGCACGATGCCGCTCCGCCTCGCGCTCCTCAGCCGTCTGACGCCTGGGCGAGCGGAGAGCCGGGGTCAGAGTGGCGGAGAGCCCTTCCCCGCCACTCGACCCGCCCGCGCCCCTCGCCTCACCGCCACTTGGTGCGTCGATTCTGGAACCAGGTCTTGACCTGCGCGTCGGTCATGCGCAGGGCCTTGGCCAGCGCCGCCCTCTCTGCCGAGGCCAGGTACTTCTGGCGCAGGAAGCGGCGCTCCAGCTCCAGCACCTGCGAGCGGGAAAAGGAGGTGCGCGGCTTCTTGCGCTTCGGGGGGGTCCGGTTTTGGTAGGGGTGGCCTATGCGACGTGTCCCAGAGAAGGGCGAGAGCACAGCTATGGGGCGGAAGAGCAGGGCAAAGTTTGGGGTGGTCCGAGGTGACACTAAGAAGAGAGCCCCTAGTCCTTACTGGGGCCCCCCCGCATCCACTGAGGCATCGTTCAAGAAGGGACCTAGGAAGAATGGGGTCCCTCCCAAACTTCACTCTGTCCCTCCTTACAGTGGGCACGGTAGGACTGCAGAGGAAGGGCGCATGCACCCGACGACAGCAGCTCTCTCCTTACTGCCTCTCCTCTGTGGGATCGAGAAATGTGGGGTCGCGGAGGTTTCACGGGGATGAGCAGAGAGGGAGGGAGAAAGGGGTAAGAGAGTTGGGGCAGAAAGCTAAGAGCGAAGAAACGGGGTCTACGAGGGAAGAACGCCAAGGGGTTGGGCAATCTCACCCGTAAGCCTGTCCTTAGCAAAGCGGCGGCCGCTGTCCATCCAGGGGAAGGTGAGTCCCGCTAGGCCCCCGGCGCCGCCCAAACCCGAGGGTCCGGGCACCGCGGGGGCCGCTCCCGAGGGCGGCGGCACCGGCAACGGGCGGTGCGCGGGGACACGGATCACGCCGCCCGGGCCCACTCCCGTGCCTCTGGGCAACGGGGCCAATGAGCCGGCCGGAGCATAGCCGGAGGCTCCGTGGAATCCACCCGAGAACGTTGCATTCTCCCCGTGGCTCTGGCCCGCCTGACCCTGGCCCAGACCGCCCCCCGGGGGTTCGGGACCGCTCAGGATCTGATCTATGCCGAAGCTGATGGGTTCGTGGTGCGGAAGGTGGTGCGGAGCCAACACCGCCGGCTCCATGGGTCCAAATGAGAGGACCCGGAGGCTGGATGGCTAGGAAGGGTGTCTCTGACGGCTGCGGGAGCCCGGCGGCGGCGCGCTCCGGCCAGCGGCTTCAGGGGCCGGCAGGAGTGGCCACAGCCGGGCGACGGGGCCCCCGGGACAGCAGCATCCCTGTGCACCGGGCGCAGCCGCGCGCGTGCCCGCCCCTCCCGGGCGTCAGCGAAGGGACTCGCATCCCGGAGGAGCGTGGCGGGCGGGGGTCTCGGGAGCTCAGGTGGACACTAGGCTACCCAGGCCGCTGCCCGAGTCCGGTGTGGAGAAGGGTGGCCAGCTCAAGCAGGGGCAGTGACTGACAGATCGGCCTCGGGTGGGCAGAAGGGGCTGAGGGAGGGCAGGGGCGGGGCCCTGTTGTTAAAGGGAAAGGGATGGTTGGATGTGCCAGGCGCAGGCAGGGCAGAGGAGGGCGCGGGTATCAGGAAGGCGCGGTGCGCGGGAGGGGCCGCTGACTCAGCCGGGATGCTAGTGCGCCCGCATCCTCGCCGGCCTCCGCCTTCGGGCTGCCTCGACCTCGCGGGTTCCTCGGCTGGTGCTTCTGTCCCCAGCCCCCACTCTTCGCCTCCCGATGGGTGCCGCTGGCCAGCTACTGGATTCGTTGTGGCCCCTACCCAAATGCCCTCTGAGACCAAATCTCGTTGTGGCTTCCTGGCTATGTAAGAAGCGGCTGGGGGACGGCGATCCGCGACCTGGAGTCCCAGGAAGAGGCCAGGTGTGGGAAGCAGACGGTGACAGGGCGTGTTTGGTGGGCTCGGGCAGGGAACGAACATCTGAACTTGGGGTTGTGGCACACCTCCTGGCTTTTCCTGTAGCCCTCCTCACCCTGGTCCTGGCCGGCCAGGAATCGGTGCCCTGTTTCTTTGAATTTCGATTTTCTGAAATTGCTGTAAATTGGACCCAGGTCTCAAATGGACCAACCCGGGCCTCCACCGCGGGATTCCACTCTATTTTGCATCTCGGAAATCTATCCTCACACACTCTCCTCCCTTCTCTTGGGGACTCGCTTAGGCCTTGGGAGGCTCCCCGCTCCGCACCCTTCAGACACTTCTCCCCACCCAAGGCTCAGAAAACGGGCCCGGAGCATGCCAGCCAAGGAGAGTGGGGGAAGGATGAAGCGGCTCGGTGACCTTGTGACCTCTGGGCGCGGACCCAGGAGCTGAGAGTGTGTGACCTCCGCGTCCCTCTCTTGGACGGGACCCCTGCCGGGCGGGCCCCTAAGCCGAAGACACGCCCCCGCCGCCACCCTGCCCGGTGCAGGCCGCCATAATCGGGTTAGTTGGGCCGGAATTACATTACCTTCCCCAGCCCGCCCCGGCCCTAGGGGGGGCCCTGGCGCCTCCGAGCCGGTGAGACTGGGCCCGGGGAGGGGGGCAGCGGGTGGGCACGGAGGAGCTGCTCAGCTTGCCTTGGATACATCCTGGCCAGAAGACCCCGCCCCGCTCTGCCAAGCCTGGACCCTCACCCCTGCCCACCTCAGAGCTCTGCTCCACCCTGCGGCTTTCCCGCGTGAAGCGAAGTGTCTAGCAAGTGTAGATCTCCCTATACTAGTTCTAGTTGTTTCTCCAGGATCCCCCAGGGAAAGGCGCCCCTCCTTTCTCCCAGCAGATGGGCTGGCAGCCTGGCGCCTGGGGCAGGGTGAAGGGGTCTTTTCTCTCCTGGGAACCAGGATATTTGGGCATCTGGACAGGAACATAAAAGTAGATAAAAGTGGGCCCTCCTTTCCAGTGTTCTCAGAAGCCTGCGAGGGCGGGGGGTGGGGGTGGGGGCGACGGAGGATAGTGGTTCCGGACCCAGGAGGGCATCAGTACTGTGTGAGAGCCCTCTCCCACCTTGGCCACCTCTATCCTTTTCAGTTATTCCTTCCACCGCACTGGCCACAGAGGGTGCGCGGGACGGGGGCGGCAATTTGGCTTTGGTGCTTTTTATGTTTCCTAGAGAACACTATCACTTCTCCTACCTTCCACAGGACCCTCCCTGTTCTGAGCTGCAGAGGGAAGGTGCTCCTAACATGAAGCCCCAAGCAAAGCCTTCTGCTCCATGGGAGTCTAGGGACCTGGCCTAGAAAGGTAGTCTCCTGCAGGGGGACTGGCTTGCAGGTGTGCTCAGGAGGATGAGCTTCAAGGAGGGAAGTACCTGTGTCTCTCACCAAACTGAATAAATCCTTCTGAACTCGTCCAAGAGCGAGTCAGTGACGGAGAAACAGGCAAGGTGGTGAAGACCTGGCTTTCACCTTTTGAGGTCTGCGCAGGTGGCAATCACCCATTGGCGACCTTTCGAGGGCAATGGTCACAATCGGCAGTACACACACATCTGGGAGCTAGTGAGGAAACCATCTAGTACCTGACCGTAGGGCGAGGTCATTCAGTTTTGCCAGCTCCACCTAGGAGTTTCTCTTCTTGCCTTATCTCTGCTTGAATGGTTCCTTCTAGTTCAAGTTAAAGATGGAGGTTCTAGGTAAGTGCTTCTTCCCGTCCTTCCATGTGCATCTGTGACACACCCCCACATGTGTTTTTCTTTCCTTTCTCCCCTGTCCCTTCTTTTTTTAATATTTGGGATTGTGTCTTGTTATGTAGCCCACAGTGGTCTTAAATTCTCCATCCTCCTACTTTTCCGCTTGACCTCCCAGATCCTGAGTTTATAGGCCTGCCCCATCTTACCGGTACATTTACCCCTGAGTTTCTGATTTGCTTGAAGAAGCTGAGTGCCCCACCTCGGCTCCTTCCCTTCCCCTTCTCCCTAGTGTTAGCTGTTCTTCAAGATGGTCCTAACTCTTTGCCACCACGTCTGTCATCAGCCCAGCTATATCAGAATTTTCTCATGTGGACAGTCTTTCCCTGACTTCTCAGGTGAATTTTTTCATCTCCTCTTTCCCTTGTCATGCCCACGTTGTGTCTACATTTCTTTCCTTCTCAGCTATCCTGTGTTAACGCAGAGGAGACTGGTTTTTCTACACCACTTCTTTTTTATTGCACAGTGTGTGGGGGTTGGGGGGAGTGCAGGTTTCATTATGTAACCCTGGTTGGCCTGGAACTTATTCTGTAGACCAGACTGGCCTCAAACTCACAAGAATCCCCCTGCTTCTGCCTTCTGAGGAACACCTTGCAACCAATTATTATTTTTTTTTTTTTTGGTTTTTCGAGACAGGGTTTCTCTGTGGTTTTGGAGCCTGTCCTGGAACTAGCTCTTGTAGACCAGGCTGGTCTCGAACTCACAGAGATCCGCCTGCCTCTGCCTCCCGAGTGCTGGGATTAAAGGCGTGCGCCACCACCGCCCGGCCCAATTATTTCTTAAATTTTCTTTTTTTCTTAATTTTTCTTTAAAAAATTAAGATTGCATTTATTTTTAGTTCTCTCTCTCTCTTTCTCTCTCTCTCTCTCTCTCTCTCTCTCTGTGTGTGTGTGTGTGTGTGTGTGTGTGTGTAGATGTACCACAGTATGAATGTGGAGGTCATAGGACTACCTCTGTTGTCTCCCACCATTTTGTGTGTGTACGTGTATGTGTGTACGTGTGTGTGCATGCGTGTGTGTGTGCATGTGTGGTGTGGTGTGTATGTGTGTGTATGTGCATGTATGTGCGTATGTGTGTCCATGTGTGGTATGTGTGTGTGCATGTGTGTGTGTGCGTGCGTGCACGCGTGTGTATGTGCAGGTGTGTGTGTGTGCACGCGTGTGTGTGCGCAGATGTACCACAGTATGAGTGTGGAAGTCAGAGGACTACCTCTGTTGTCCCCCACCATGTGGGTCCCAGGGGTTAAACTCAGGTCATCAGGCTTAGAAGCAATCACCTTCACCTGCTGGACCATCTCATCAATCCTCGAGATGTCCTTTCCTTTAGCTTCGATTTCGGTTTCTTTCGCTTTTCATTTTTGGCTTTGTTTTGAGCGCTGGGAATTGAGCCTAGGGCCCATGCATCTAGGCAAGTGCCCCACCGCTGAACTGCCTCCCCCACCCTGTTTTATTATGCTTCTCTGGAATTCTGTAACATGGACTTCCATTGTTACTGCATATGGCCATCCTCCTCTGGCTTTGCATCTGCTGCTGCAGAGAGGACTTCAGGGGACTGAATTTAGCTTTTATCTCTGTTCAGGTTTCATCCATTCCAGTGGCCTCAATTCCCACACCACCCAGACAGCACTGCCATCTGCCACTTGAGCCTCATCTCTCCAGTCTCACTTCTGTCCTAGCTTTCTGGCCAACTCCACCCTTCTCTCTTGAAACCACCTTAAGTGCAACAGGCTGGAGGAAATGCTCACTCCTCAAGATGCTTATTCAGCCTTTTACTTACCCAGGCCTACCCAGTCAGGTCCCTAGCTGCTTCCTTCTTCCATACTTTCCTTTAAAATTTAACATGGAGCCTCCTCCTCCTTTGGACAGAGTCTTCTATAGCTCAGGCCATGAATTTGCTATTGTAGCCACAGCTAGCTTTGAACTCTGATCTTCCTGCTTCTGGGTGCTAGGATTACAGGTGTGCTTCATTTCCAGTACAGTCTTTCCTTTCCATTGCTAAACCCTTACTCTAAGCTGTCACCATCACCTACATTCTTTCATTTGTTCATTCAGAATATTTCTAAAAGTTTTCTTTAAATTTTATAACCACGTGTGTTTGCCTCTTTGGCTTTATATGCACTACAGTATGCGCAGGAGCCCTTAGAGGCAAGGAGTTGGATCCCCTGAAACTAGAGCTACAGGTAGTTGTCAGCCATCTGCCTAACATGGGCACTGGGAACTGAACTCATGTCCTCTGCAAGAGCAGTGAGTGCTCTTGATGAGCTGTCCCTCCAGCCACCATGCAGAATATTCTGACACCCACTATGTGCTCATATCTGGAGATATAGATATGAACAGCAGAGGGAAGGAGCTACCTAGCTCTGGAAACTTACATTCGAATACAAAAGGCAGATTAGAAACTAGAAAAATACTATAAACTAATAGTATATCTATATACTCTATAAGGCGATATAATAGAATACAGAGAAAGAGAGAGATGGTGGTGTGTGCCTTTAATTCTAGCTACTTTAGGAGGCTGAAGCTGGAGGATCACAAATTTGAGGTCAGCTGGAATAATACCGTGAGCGTTTCAGAAAGGAAGGAAGGAAGGAAGGAAGGATAAAATAAAAGAGAGGGGCTCAGGAAATAGCTCAGGCAATAAAGAGCTTGCTATGCAGATGTTCAGATCTGAGTGGAGTCCCCAGCATCCCTGGGAAAAGCTGGGTGTGGGGAGCACTGGGGAGGTAGTGACAGGAGTGTCACAGGCCTTGTTGGCCAGTCAGCGGAACCTCATTCTCAAGGATCCTCTCTCTCCTCAGGATCCTAAGGACACTGGAGTTTGTTCTCTGGCCTACTGTACACATGCAGGCACATACATGTGTGCTCACTGTAGCGTGCACATGCACATATGCAAATTAAGTTACATGTTTAAAAGATCTCTTTGTTTAATTTATGGGTATACACGTTTGCCTGTGTAAGTTCATGTGTGCCGCATGTATGCAAGAGCCCATGGAGACCAGAAGAGGACATCAGATCTCCTGGAACTGGAGTTACAGGTGGTTGTGAACATCTTGACTTGGGAACTGAAACCCCAACCTGAGTCCTCTCAAAGAGCAGTAAACTCTTAACCACTGAGCCATCCTCAGGCCCACGCTTTTTCTATCTATCTATCTATCTATCTATCTATCTACCTATCTGAAGAAAAAGATCCTGCTGTGGTGGCACTTGCCTTTAATTCCAGCACTTGAAAGGCAGAGAAAGGCAAGTGGATCTCTGTGAGTTTAAAGCCAAGTTTGATCTATCTAGTAAGTTCCAGGCAGCCAGGGCTACATAGTGAGATCAACTCAAAAAACAAAACAAAACAAATGCTAACAGTGCTAAAATATGGTAAGAAGAAGAAAAAAAAGGAAGGACGTCAAGTGAATAGTTTGTGCAGTGGGAACCCAGAAGCCTCAAAGAAACCTGAAAGAGGGAGAAAGCATGCATGGCCAGTGTGTCGAAGCAGACCCCATTTTAGTGTTTTTATGGAATAGACAGCGAGGAGGTCAGTGTGGCTGGGGAAACCACACAAGGTGTTAGACTTCTATTCTGAAGGAAAAGGGAAACTATCAAGTTTGGGGCTTATTTGTGTTTCTGAAGTTGATGTACATGAGTGTTTTGCCTCCTATATATATGTGCACCACAAACACGGTATAATGACCGTGGAGGCCATGCTAGGGCATGGGACCTGCAGCTGGAGTGACAGATTGTTGTAAACCTTTTTGTGGGTGCTGGGAAGTGAACCCAAGTCCTCTGAAAGAGCAGACATCGGAGACATCTCTCCAGTCCCTAGGTTTGTTAAGTTGTGTGTGCGTGCATGTGTGTGTGCGTGTTCCTAAGGATGACCAAAGCCTGGGACAAGCACTCACTACAGAGCTGTAACCTCAGTGCTAAAATATCTTAAACAGAAAAAGGAAAGAACATAATCTAATTTTTTTTTGATTTTTCGAGACAGGGTTTCTCTGTAGCTTTTGGATCCTGTCCTGTCCTAGAACTAGCTCTTCTAGACCAGGCTGGCCTTGAACTCACAGAGATCCGCCTGCCTCTGCCTCCCGGGTGCTGGGATTAAAGGTGTGTGCCACCACCGCCCCGCTGAACATAATCTAATTTTTTATTTTAGTTTTCAGTTTTTTTCCAGAGTCTCTTTGTGTAGCCCTGTCTGGCCTCACTCTCAGTAATCCAACTGCCTCTGCCTTGAGCGCTGGAATTGAAGGTGTGTGCCACCACCCTTGGCTCAACAATCTGATTTTCTAAATTTTATGATTTACTTATTGCTTGCTTGTATTTGTTGTTGAGACAGTTTTATGTAGCTCCAGATGGCTTAAAAATTGCTGTGTAGCTTAGAATGACCCTGAACTCCTGATTCCCCCTGCTTCTACCTCATAAGTGCTAGGATTACAGGCCTGTTCCTTAATTTTTTTAACAGTTCTATTGAGATCTAATTTACAATAAGCTGCAAGTTTTTTTTTTTAAAGATTTATTTATTATGTATACAACATTCTGCCTCCATGTACGCCTGCTGGCCAGAAGAGGGCACCAGATCTCATTACAGATGGCTGTGAGCCACCATGTGGTTGCTGGGAATTGAACTCAGGACCTCTGGAAGAGCAGTCAGTGCTCTTAACCTCTGAGCCATCTCTCCAGCCCAAGCTGCAAGTTTTTAAAGTGTATACTCTGACTGGTCTCCACAGATGTAAATGCCCATTAAACTAACACCACAATTGAAATATGAAACATCCATCAGAAACGCTATGTTCTGTCCAACCTATGATCAGAATCACTATTCCATGGTGTGGGAAGAAGGGACAGGAGCGGGAGCAGTGGTGGACAGGAAGAAAGTGGTTGAGACCTGCAAGGCCTGAGTTGTGATGAGGGTAGCATGGACTAGGTAAACCATAGCTGTAATTAGTTGATTAACAAGTCATTGGTACTTCCTTGCTGTTTATGTATTCCATTCTGAAAAGAACACTTTATCCCATTCACGGGGTAACACACATGCATACACACACTATCCTTTCTGTCAGGTACCTGTTGCCATCAGTCTATAATCATTCCAACCCTTTTAGGCCCCATTGCTTCTACTACCACTCCCAATCCGTACATTTGTTGGTATCTATCTATCTATCTATCTATCTATTTTTTTTTTTTTGAGACAGGGTTTCTCTGTGTCTCGGTTGTCTTGGAACTCTCTCTCTCTCTTTGGTTTTTCGAGACTGGGTTTCTCCGTATCTTTGAAGCCTGTCCTGGAACTAGCTTTTGTAGACAAGGCTGGCCTCGAACTAACAGAGATCCGCCTGCCTCTGCTTCCCAAGTATTGGGATTAAAGGCGTGCGCCACCACCGCCCGGTACTTCTATTTTCTTGACCGGTCCTCTCCATGCTACCTTTCTTTCCTACTTCCATCACACTTACACCCCTCATCCATGTGTCAATCATGCCTACACAGAGTTCCATCTTTTTCAGAAAGCATTTCAATGTTCCGGTGGTTATCTCCCCTCTGGCTCCAATCTCCAATTGTACTCGGTGCTAATAACGCTTCAGAGTAAATTTTTTATTTTTCAATTTCGCTCGCTATAAGAACGCAGTGATGACAGTGTACCAGCCCCCCCCCACCCCCCCACCCCCGCTCCTCACCCAATGGGGGCCTGGGCCTAAGCTACTTCAGGCACTCGCGCCCAAGTATCTTCCCTGTCAGTCCTCCCCTCCTCCTTCGGCATCTGCTCTGCATTAGTCTATCCCAGGCCTCCGCAGGCGCCGATGATTAAATCATCATCATTAACCAGGGCCTATTCCCCCCACCCCCCGCAGCAGCGAGAGAGTGGGGGGTAAGATCACCACGTTCCCGGAGGGTCTCTCCCTCCCCACCCTACCCAAAGCACCCTCTCCGAGACTTCGCGAAGCCGGGAGAAACTCCCACGGTGGAGCGGGGAGAAGGCCCGCCACCCGGACGCAGTTCCGCAGCGCGGACGCCGCAGCAGCCGGGTAGGGTCACACTGCAGGGTGAGGACCCGGGGTCCCAGGCGAGGTCGCGTCCCAGGACTCCCACTCTCCGGAGCAGCAGCGGACGGCGATCGCACGGCCTCAGGGTCGGAGGGCACAGGCTATCTATCACAAGCTCCTGAAGTTGGTCCAGAGATCGGGTGCGCGCCGTCGGAAGGACGCCCGTGGGAGCGTGCAATACCGGGACCCTGCTCCACGACCACCCCCCCACACACACACACACTCCCTAATGACCACGGGGAGGGGGGGCCAGCGGGCTCAGGTGAGCACACGGGGAAAGAGCGAAGGGGCGAGGGCGGGGTGTGCCGGATGATTAGCCAATCCGGAGAATTTGAGGCCCTCGTTGCTATGAGACAAGTCCCGCCCCGCAGGCGGTACCGGAAGTGGCGGGCTGGGATCAGCCTTTAAGATGGCGTCTCCTCAGGGGGGCCAGATTGCGATCGCGATGAGGCTTCGGAACCAGCTCCAGTCAGTGTACAAGATGGACCCGCTACGGAACGAGGTGCAGGGGCGGCGGGGTGACTGCTGGGGTCCGTTAGCTGTGCGAACCCAAGCGGGCGAGAGGACGGGCGGTGGCGGGACAGGCGCCCAGTGCGCCTGCGCAGCAGTGGGTTGCGCGGTACGCACGCGCGATTCCGGCACGGTTGCCAAACGCTGGACTTGGACGCCTGCGCGTTTAGTGTCACTGACGGCGCTTGGTCTCCCTAGGGAAAGGAGGGTCGGGCGAGTCCTGGAGAAGAGAGCACCCGCTGTGAGCGGAGCCCTCTGCTGGGCGGAGGGGGAGCTCATTTCCCCCACCCCCTTCCACGGCCTGAGTCCATTGACCGGAACCGGAGCTGGGAAGTGCGGAGGTGATGTGGGGTGTGTTTGCCAGACCAGTGAGGAGTGACTGGGGGTGTGTCCGCAGGAGGAGGTCCGGGTGAAGATCAAAGACCTGAATGAACACATCGTTTGCTGCCTGTGTGCGGGCTACTTCGTGGATGCCACCACCATCACAGAGTGTCTCCACACCTGTGAGTGTCCCGGATCCTGCCCTGTCCTCACCAAGGCTGGCTGCAAGCCTCTGTGCTGTCTGTCCCACTCCGCCCTATGTGCCGGGGTCCCAAAGGGCCTGAGCGTCTGCGTTTCTCCTTACAGTCTGCAAAAGTTGTATTGTGAAGTACCTGCAGACCAGCAAGTACTGCCCCATGTGCAACATCAAGATCCACGAGACGCAGCCGCTGCTCAACCTCAAGCTGGATCGGGTCATGCAGGACATAGTCTATAAACTGGTACCAGGCTTGCAAGACAGTGAGTGGCCACCTTGTGTTCGTGGGACCTCCTGACTCTCATGCTGGGTGGCAGCTTGATGTGAATAAGAGTCTTATTGGGAATCATCTAGATAAAGAGGTCAACAGCCAGGACAAAGAGAATTAACATGGCCGCCCTTCACCCCCTCCTAGGTGAAGAGAAACGGATTCGGGAGTTCTGTCAGTCCCGAGGCTTGGACAGAGTCACCCAGCCCAGTGGGGAAGGTATGTCCTTGGTGGTCATTTGGGGGAGAAAGGGGGCAAATAAATCTCTCAAGAGTATTTCCCCTGCCCAGGATTGCTCTCTGGGGGATGGGGGTGTGGGATCTGTACCAGCCTCCTCAATGTCTACTTTTTCTCAGAGCCAGCCCTGAGCAACCTTGGCCTCCCTTTCAGCAGTTTTGACCACTCTAAAGCCCACTATTACCGCTATGATGAACAGCTGAGCCTATGCCTGGAGCGGCTGAGGTGAGGGGCAGGTCAGAGGTTGCGTGAAATGATACTACTGGTGCCCCAGAATCGGCTAAGGGACTTACGGAAAGGCCAAGGGGTGAGGGAGTGTCTGTTCCCTTGAAGAGTGTGCTATGGATCTAGGTGGGAAGAGAGGAAAAATGGAATCCTCTAACTTGTTTCTGTTTCTGTCCAGTTCTGGCAAAGACAAGAATAAAAACGTCCTTCAGGTGAGAAAGGCTGAAGGGAGGGCCTCTTTGAAGGAGAGCTTCTCCCCACAGCCCCTTCCTCACACACCTGTCCTCTTCCCCCTTCACTGTTCTTAGAACAAATATGTCCGATGCTCTGTTAGAGCTGAGGTACGCCATCTCCGAGGGGTTCTGTGTCACCGCCTAATGCTAAATCCACAACATGTAAGTACACTCGTGTTATATGAAAGAACAAGAGGCTGAAAGGGAGGGACATGTCTGGTTTGGAGGCTTGTGTCTGGAAGGGAAGCTGAGACAGGGAGATTACTTCAAGTTCAAGGTTAGCCTAGGCTAACCTCGCCTAGTGAATTCCAGGCGAGTCTGGGCTCTGGAGTAAGGCCTTGTCTTCAGAAATAAAAAAAAAAAAAAAGTGGGAGGAGGCTCTGGTGAGACAGCTTAGCCCCTAAAGCGCTTGCCTTGCAAGCCAGAGTTCTGTCCCCAGACCTAAACCAAAACCCACCTAGTGAGGCAGCGCAAATTTATATTCCCAGTACTGGGGCTGGGACTAACCTTACCCTACTTGATGAGTTCCAGGGCAGTGAGAGAACTTGTCTCAGAAAAGAAACAAGATGGATGGAGTCTGAGGAACAACACCCAGAGCTGTTCTCTGGCCTCCACAGACATAAACACAGTGTACACAGGAACATAGATACATACATACATACACACATACACACATACATAATACATACGCACTCGGGGACAGTCCAGGGAACAGTCTCTGCCGAGTACTACCAAGGTCTCTTCCCTGCCCCATCTCCCCCTTAGGTACAGCTCCTTTTTGACAATGAGGTTCTCCCTGATCACATGACAATGAAGCAGCTATGGCTGTCCCGCTGGTTCGGCAAGGTAAGCCGGGTGCAATGGGTTGAGGACCCTGCAGGTGCTAACAGCCCACTCATTTTTTCTTTCCCTTCTTTCCGTAGCCATCTCCTTTGCTTTTACAATACAGTGTGAAAGAGAAGAGGAGGTAGGGGCCAGACTTGCTTCCACCCCCTTCCCACCCCTCCCAGATATTTATGTGAAATTAACTGTGGCTTTATTTTTTGAAATAAAAGCTTTTCAAAAGCATTTTCATCTTCCTTGGCTACTCACTGCACACTCAAGCTTTGGCCTGTGTTCTGGTTGCTCAGCAGTCTCCCTGGTATCTACCAGATGTCCTCAGGAGTCCTTCGTGACTTCCAGAAGGAGCGGGACAGAGGCCTGCGTGAACTGAAATCTGGCCTTTTGGGTGAGAGAAGGCCATCTACATGGCAGCTCTTGCTGTCCTCGTGTGCTGCAGGATACGATAGCAGCCTCAGCGGAAATGTCACAAACGTGTCAAGAGAGGACAACCTGTGGCCCCTACAGGGCTGAAGAGGAGGAAAAGCAATATTTAAGGAAAAATCCAAATAATTGCATTTGGTTCTGTAGCCTGGGAACCAAAGTCAAGAGAGAAGACCCCACAGATGGTATCTAGTGGGGCAGTCTGAGCCTAGGACAGCTGTCTACAGAGGCAACTAGCCTTGGGGAGGGGAGTCAGTGAAGCTGGGATGGGGAAGACACCAAGAGGAGCTTCACAGAAGAGGGGCATGGTCAGGCAAGGGCATATCTTGTCTCTAAAAGCCCACGGTACTTGATGAACTTTGGCAATAATCCCACAGTGTCCTAATTCTATGGATAACTATGTGGAAGGGTCAAAGTATGTCCACACCCAAAAGACAAAAAAAAAAGCAGCCTGGCGGTGGTGGCACACGCCTTTAATCCCAGCACTCGGGAGGCAGAGGCAGGCGGATCTCTGTGGGTTCAAGGCCAGCCTGGTCTAGAAGAGCTAGTTCCAGGACAAGAACAAAAAGCTATGGAGAAACCCTGTCTCGAAAATCCAAAAAAGAAAAGAAAAGAAACTGTGTTCAAAACCCAAAAAAACTGAAACAACAGAAACCAGGCAGTAAGAGGCCAAAGACACACCCAGGCCATTGTGAAGAAAACCTCAGACTGCTGCCCAGTCTGGGATGAGTTGCAGTGAGGGTTCCAAAGTGTAAAGCCCAAATCTTGCTGGCTGAAGGCTGAGCCTGAAGCTCAAGCGGGTCTTGTATACAGCTGAGGTTAGAAGGCTGTCAGTCAATACAGGCCGCCCTACGCTTGCATCTGGAACTTTCCCACTTTGCATTATGTTGTCTGGAAACCTTACTAAGTCCTTGGGACACATGGAGAATATAGGGCCAAGGCAAAAGTGTTACAGAAGGTGAGCTGGGCCAAGCAACTCTCACCTATAAATTCCAACACTGGGGAAGCTGAGGCAGGAGTATTTATTACCAGGAGTTCTAGGCTAGCCTGGCTGGAGTACAAAGCCGTTTCCAACAAAAAGTGCTTGAGTGTCTGAGGCAGATGATGGATCTGGGTGGGGATGCATCCCCAAAGATTCCCGATCTGTGGCTCATTCCTTAAAGCTGGGTATGTGCGGAGAGGGGTGGACAAGAGACTCACCTCCTCCAGGGACCCTTCCCCCATTCAAAACAGCTGTTCCCAGAAGCTGACCTCAACAGCAGGGCAAGTTGGGATAAATATCCCAATAGTGTTCCCCTGTTACGTCCCAATCAAAAGTCTACAGCACACGCCTCGAGAGTTTATGCACCTCTCCGAGTTTCTTATGGAGGCACGGGCAAGGAGGAGCGCTGTTAAGCACAACAAACACTGCGGGAGTTAGACTGTGGTCTGTGTGTTGTCCCCCCAACCCCCGCCCCGCATTCTTCCAGGGTGCTTGCTGTTGGATATGGCAGCAGCTCAGTAGCAAAAAGAAATCTGAGGAATTGGGGTTGAATATGATCAAAACACAAAGTATAAAATTTTCAAAGAAAAAATTTTTAAATAAAATTAAAAATGTCAGCAGCTTGTATCCATGAAACCCCGTGCACCACCACCACTCCCGCGCGCTAAATAAACGCTTTTGTTTTATTTTAATTAAGTCGGGCCTGAAGACTATGGGTTCCTAGCTCAGGAATCCTGAGCTTCCATGCCTGGAGATGTCTTTACTTTGAGGCTGGAGCAGCCGAAGGTGCTACGGTTTAGATCTGGCTGGAACGATGGGGTCTGGTGGTTGCGCGGTCTTCGCAATCTTCTTCCTGTCAGCGCAGTGGCGGCAGCTGTAGTGCATCTCCTGTGGTTGCTGATGTTGCGCAGCTGCAGACTCACTTTCCTTTTCCCACCCTGACCCCGAGGTCACTTGCATCTCATTTAGGGATATCACACCAATGCTTCTGGGGGAGGGGGTGCAGAACTCAATAGAACTCAACTCCAGAACCCAAGGGATGTGATTACCACTTAGGTCCTCAGTCTGAAAAAGGAAACTGCCCCAGGCTGAGTGCAAGCAGTTCTGAGGTTGAGGCAAGAGGATTGCTGTGGGTTCTAGGCCACTCTGGGCTACACAACAAGACCCTGTTTCAACTCTAGCCCCCAAAAGAAAGCAACCCAGAGATAGAGGGACCTCTCCCACACACCTTGCTTGGCTTTTCTTCCTTTTCCTTTTTGTGTGTGCTAGGCAAGTCCTCTGCCAACTGACCTATATCCCCAGCCTCTAAAAATACTTTTGTTGTTGTTGAGACAGGGTCCCACTGTGTAGCTCCGGCTGTCCTGGAACTTACTATGTAGATCAGGCTGGCCTCAGACTCCGAGATCTGCCTGCCTCTGCTTTCTCATTGCTGGGATTAAAGGTGTGTGCCACCACACCTGGCTTCTGACAAGGTTCTTTTTTTTTTTATTTTTTTATTTATTATGTATACAATGTTCTGTCTGTATGCCTGCAGGCCAGAAGAGGGCGCCAGATCTCTTTACAGATGGCTGTGAGCCACCATGTGGTTGCTGGGAATTGAACTCAGGACCTTTGGAAGAGCAGGCAATGCTCTTAACCACTGAGCCATCTCTCCAGCCCCCAAGGTTCTTTTTTTTAAAAAAAAAAAAGATTTATTTATTTATTTTGTATACAGTGTTTTGTCTGCATGTATGCCTGCAAGCCAGAAGAGGGTACCAGATTTCATTACATCTGATGGTTGTGAGCCACCATGTGGTTGCTGGGAATTGAACTCAGGACCTCTGGAAGAACAATCAGTGCTCTTAACCTCTGAGCCATCTCTCCAGCCCCCATGACAAGGTTCTTTGTCCACCGCCACAACAGGGCAATTCTGAGCAGCCTCCAATCCAGTTTGCTTTACACTCAGAATTCAAAAGGATTTTGTGGGGTAAGCCACTCTGAGAGCGACAATCATTTATTGAACAGAACTAAAGGCTAAAGGGGCCTGGGTGGAGGGAACCATTGGGTGACAGGTGAGTGTCTTAAGGAAATGAAGGTCTGAGTGTAAGCATCCCATCTTCTACTCTGAGAGGGATTTAAAAGGCCCTGAAGTGTGAGACACAATGGGGAGACAGAGAAGACTGGAGGCCAGAAGAATTGCCTGAGGATGCCAGGGAAGACATCCCGGATCCTTTAGGACACCAGAGTGCTGGACCTGTGGGTGCAAAACAACGGGGCACCAGGAAGTTTCTGTGCTCCCCTATTCCTGTAGGGAAAAGTCTAAGAGATAGCTGAGCGCTCCTCTCAAGCCCAGAACCCAGGTTTAATCTCTTTCTATCCCTCATTAATCACTCACCCTCCTCCGGCCCCCTCTGTGGATCCGGTTTCTCCCCAGCTCAGGTTCCAACCTGGAGAAGCCCCCCTCCATGGCCCCAGGATAGTCTGGACTAGTCCCTAGGCATTGGGGTGGCCTTAGTCAGCCTCTGATGTCGGGACATCTTCCCTTTAACCTCTCCACTTCTCTTTCCTCCCCCCAAAACTTGTGTCTGAGGACTATCCCGTCCATCACCTGACCCCATCTGCTGCAGGGAGGAGGCAGGCAGGAGAGATGGAAGGAGAGGAAGGCAAAGCCCCTCAGGAGAGCCCCACACTCCTCACCCCCACACACGGGAGTAATTGAGAACAGAGGTAAAAAGGACATAAAAGCCACGTAATGGACATACGAGGCAAGGTTGCAGTGTCTTTTGGGTGACAGGACTGGGATGCGGTGGGGCAGTTCCTGCTGCCTCCTGGGATCGGCTTTAATTGCAGAGTAAGTGAAACCACAGGGTCTGCAGCAGAGGCCCTCCACTGCCCTCTCCCCCACTCCGCCCCCATTAATAACCAATTAACAAGGTTCTGAAGCAGCTCAGCTTTTCCCCATGGCCTGGCTCTGCTCTCTGACCCTTCATTGAGCTTCGAGAACATCCCCCAGGCTTCCAGGAGGATCTGAATGCCTGAAGGCTGGGGTGTCATCAGAGGGAAAGGGAACCCTTTATTGGGAAGACACCCCTCCCACTTTCAAGGGGAGTGTCCTATTGTCAAGGAGCCTTTGGCCCAGGTCCCCAGGATCTCCTAAATCCTATTTGGGGCACCACAACTCTAAGCTACATTTGCCCTAGGGGACAGACCAGTGACGTTGAATAGTATGGGAGATGCAGAGAGGCCTACAGGAAAGGGGACATGGGGAATAGTCCTGCAGTTGGGGGCGGGCTGTTCTGGTTTTTTATTTAACTGTAACAAAACAAACACAAACAGAATACTAGTTTTGCCTTGGCACAGTGGCTCACTCCACAGAAGACCAAGCCAGGAGGATTGCTTTGAGTTTGAGAGAGCGTGGGCTACATAATGAGACCTTAGCTCAATCATAAATATGTTAATTAAAATTAAAAGTCATGTGTGATGGCACACACCTTTAGTCCCAGATAAGTTTGAGACCAGCCTAATCTACATATTGTAAGCTCCAGGACAGCCAGGGCTACATAGTGAGATCCTGACTCAAAATAATAATAATGATAATGATAATAATAATAACAATAACAATTTTAAAAGAACATTGGCATTCCCGTTGGTAGTAGTTGAGTCTCCATGTCCATAATGTTCCGCCTTTTGCTATTCAAGGCGGTTATAGTAGAAAGAGAGCCCACGCCAGTCCAGCCTCACTAACCCAGCTTCCTTGTCCCTGAACTGTCTTATTTCAACTCAAGATGATCATGGAGGGCAAACTCAGGTGAGAATACCCGTGGGGGAGAAGAGGACAGAGATTACAAACAACAGCGAACAGACTAGATCTCAGAGTTTACGCCTAAGTTGCCAGTGCCGCCTGCTTCGTGCTCTGGCTGGGTCTGTGGGGTCTGCTCTTCAAATAGTCTTCCCTGGAGAATGACCCCACAGGGACACCACACCTGGACTATGAGAGCTTAAAAAATGACAAAGGCAGACCCACTGGTAAACCAGGAAGAAGAGCAGGTTTTCTGTGGAGCAAGGGGCTCCTCCAGAACCTTAGTGCCAGTCCAGGGCTCTGGAAGCTTTTTGGGTGTGTTTTAATTTACTGGGACCTCTAGGCTACAGCAAGGCAGACTCACCTTCCCATTCCTTGTGGTATCTTTTTATGACAGTCATTCCACTAGGCCAGGCTCTCCCAAGTCTTGGTCCTGGACCCCCACACTGTACCAAACCATTTCCAGCCACCGTGTTCTCTTTAAGACCTTTCCCCAGGGTTGGGTGTGTTAGATTTGGCCAAGTTAGGATACTGAGTTCCTAGCTAAAGTCCAGGAGCCTAACACAATCAGCCCTGATCCTGTTTCTAAGAACTCTGCAAATCCCCAGCCCTCAGGGCCAGGGAAAGCAATTTTATTGCCCAGGAGTTTATGAGCCAGAGCCGTGGGTGGGGAGCCAAGCAGCAAGCAGAATCCAGTAAAGTAAGCCCAGTTTGAACGTGCACAGAGAGATCACCGGCTTCTCTCCACCCTATAGAAGAAATAAGGCTGCCAGGACACCTAAGGGCTCCAGACTCACTGTGGGCTTTGGAGGGAGGTGCGGGTGCAGAAGGAGGGGACATGGGGCTCCCTCCCAGCTCTAGGGGGCGGGTCCGAGACAAGGGGCCCAGATCGGAAGCTGAGCACTGGGGGCCAAGGAGGTTGTAGAGCCAAGAGCAGCAGGAGACGGGATCGTTACAACCCGGCTTGCCATGAACTCTGGACCCCAGCGCCGGACACCCTTCAGCATCGCAGACATCCTAGGCCCGAGCATGATTCCCCGAGCACCTTCTGAGCCACAGCTTCCCGAGGCCAGCCCTGATCCCGCGTCGCCGCTGTGTGCGCTGGAGGAGCTGACAAGTAAAACATTCCTGGGCCGTGACCCGCGCGCTCTGCAGCCTTCAGAAGGTACAATGTCTACAAGGTCGTGGGCTTGAACTCAGTTCTCTCTCCTTCCTCTGTCTCTCTCTGTCTGTGTCTCCTCTCTCTCTCTCTCTCTCTCTCTCTCTCTCTCTCTCTCTCTCTCTCTCTCTCGTCCCTAGTCACAGAGTTTTGTTCAACCCTGGGCGGTCATTTTTACCCAGCCCTGCCCTCTGTCCATGTGTCAAGAGTTGCATCCCGGCCCGCAAGTCTCTAGCGTTAATTCCTAGACCTTGCAGTTGCTCCAGGGGGTCGCCAGCGCCGCGGGGTACCTCCAGGCTGGGAAGAATCTAGGGACCGCTTGGGCTGGTGCATTCGCTGTACGCGGGACAATTGCGACCGAGAAAGGCCGTGGAAGAGACAAAAGGCTTGAGCTCTAGGCAAGAAATGAGTAAGGCAGGGAGGGCTAGGACTAGGCAGAAAGCTTCGGAGACCTTCTAGAGAGCTCTGTGCAAGAAGGTCCTTGCAGCTGCTTTGGGCATAGGAACCGCCTCTCTGCCCCCTTCCCTCCCCATGCTCCCACTGAGTCCCTTTTTGGCTCCCGGAAAAGGGAGTGGATGTTTTTAAGCAAGTATAAACAGACGGCTTTATATGGCCACCAGGCCTTGTGGGTCACCCTACCTCAATCTAGCCTCTAACCTTACCTTACCTGGAACTCCAAAAGGCGTCAGAGGATCTTCTCCAAACGGCCTTGATCCCTACACCAGATCTCCTCTGGTCAATCCCACCCACTCCCCTGCGTGAGCAACCTCATTTCTCTGTCGCCAGCATTTCCAGAGGCCCGCTGCTCTTCGAATCCCTGACCTGACCCGGTGTGAAGGGAACGTGGTGCTGAGCCTCCCCCACACCTGCTTGAGCCTTGCGACCCTAGCTTTTCCACCCAGACCACAGCTCCTCCAAAGCTGGAGACTGACATTTTCGTCCCATCCTGGCAGGCAGAGTCACCCCAGAGGCGTCGCTGGGTTCTGGCGCTGGTGTCCGGAGACGGCGCAAGTCGCGTACAGCGTTCACTGCACAGCAGGTGCTGGAGCTGGAGCGGCGATTCGTCTTCCAGAAGTACTTGGCACCGTCAGAGCGCGACGGACTGGCTGCGCGACTGGGCCTGGCCAATGCCCAAGTGGTCACTTGGTTTCAGAACCGTCGCGCCAAGCTCAGGCGGGATGTAGAGGAGATGCGCGCCGATGTGGCCTCTCTATGCGCGTTGTCCCCGGGAGTCCTGTGCCACCTGACACTGCCAGACAGCTCTTCAAGCCCTGACCCTGGCCCTACAGGACCTGATTCTGAGCCCCATTTATCGGATGAAGAGATACAGGTGGACGACTGAAAGATAAAGCCCCCGCCAGCCCTGGATTCCAGGGCCCCGGACTCTTCACCTCTGCTAGGGCCCTTGTCTGGGTTCCCGGGTGGAAGAGAGAGACCCACTTAGCCCTGTTATGTCCCTCAGTCCACACTCCTACTTTTTTTTACTCGTTGAGAATAAAACCGCCGCTCTGCAGCAAGGCGCCTCAATCCGGGATGTCCGCAGCCCAAACCAACGCAATCTCCTACTCACTGGGAAATTGCTTCTGCTGCCTTGCGGTTCCTTTAAAACGTGGTGCTTCTTTTAGCCCAGATAGTAACCTTAAAAGGCAGGTGTCTGGCTCTGCTCATCTTCCAAAAGAATCTTGAGGTCAGGATTTGGACTCGGGCATCAGCTACCCTTCAGAGATCCAGCTGTCTCTCCTCTCCGGAGACACTGGGTGGAGAGGAAGTGGGCAGGACTCTAGCGGTGGCTTCCGGTCACCACCCTCTACCTCCTCCTGGCCACCTTTGTTCCCAAGACTGTCTGCAGACTTGGAGAGCTCAACGGGAAACTTTAGGTTGTCCCCTATGTGATAACGTGTTTCTTTCCTTTCTTTTCCCTCTTTTTTCTTTTGAGAGACAGGGTTTCTCTGTGTAGTTTTGGAGCCTGTCCTGGAACTCACTCGATCTCAGATCCACCTGCCTCTCCTGAGTGCTGGGATTAAAGGCAGGGAGCATCCCACCACCGCCCAGCTTTTCTTTCCCTACTCTTAATCAAGTTCTACTAGCGCTCCACACTAAGCCTAGAACACCTGTGATCCCAGCACTTGGGAGGTGAAAGCAGGAGGATCAAGAGTTCTAGGTCAGCCTGGGCTACAACAGGCTCGCAGGTACGCGCAGGCATGCGTGCGCGAACACGCACACACACCAATAAAGAAAGAATTCTATGACAGGACACAGTGACACACCAGTGTCTGGGAAGAGGGCACACCACTTCTACCTCTGGGACCTCTGTCCTGGTGTGGGAGCAGGGCACACCTGACTGGAGAGGAGCTCAGAGTAGCTGTGAGGGCCACGAGGACATCTCAGCCTGGCCCCACTGCTGATGTCTCTGACATTCACTTATGCTGGTCATTGATCTCCCTCCTGCAGGGGCACTGGGGAGGGACTGGGAGCATCTAGGAGTTACAGGCCCACCCTGCCCATCTTTAGGAGACCACCACCCAGCTAGGGCCTCCGCTGCAGGTGAAGGGCCAAGAATGGGAAATTCCAGGGAGGCTGAATAAGGCTGGAAAGCAGGAGTGATGCTGGTGTCTTCACGCAATAACCGAACGCTTTGTGTGAATCAACCAGCAGAACAGCCAACCGTGGACATCGGGTCGGGTGCTGGGAAAGACCAAGGACACCGACCCATAGGTGGTAAGATGAGGTCCATCTTTAATGCTTTTCTGATACAAGCCTTTGTTTTGTGTTGTTTTTGTTTTTCAAGACAGGGTTTCTCTATGTAGCCCTGACTGTCCTGAAACTCACTTTGTAGACCAGGCTGGATTTGAACACAGAGATCCCACTGCCTCTGCCTCCCAAGTGCTGGGATTAAGAGTATATGCTACCATACCCAGGATAAAGAAAATGTACATTTACACAATGGAGTACTAAACAACAGAAAAAATAACAACATCTTGAAATTTGAGGGCAACTGGATGGAGTTAGAAAACATTATTTTGGGGGCTAGAGAGATGGCTCAGCGGTTAAGAGCATTGCCTGCTCTTTCAGAGGTCCTGAGTTCAATTCCCAGCAACCACATGGTGGCTCACAACATCTATAATGGGGTCTGGTGCCCTCTTCTGGCCTGCAGGCATACATGAACAAAGAATATTATATATATAATAAATAAATAAGTATTTTTTAAAAGTTTTTAAAAAAGAAAACATCATTTTGAGTGAGGTAGCCCAGACCCAGAAAGACAATTATTATATGTACTCACTCATAAGTGGTTTTTAAACATAAAGCAAAGAAAATCAGCCTACAAATCACAATCCCAGAGAACCTAGACAACAATGAGAACTCTAAGAAAGACATACATGGATCTAATCTACATGGGAAGTAGAAAAAGACAAGATCTCCTGAGTAAATTAGGAGCATGGGGACATTGGTAGAGGGTTGAAAGGGAGGGGAGAGGCAGGGAGGGGAGCAGAGAAAAATGTAGAGCTCAATAAAAAAAGCAAACACTAAAAGTAAATAAATTAAAAATGATAAAAGATTAATTTATTTTAACCATATGCATATATACTGTGTGTGTGCCTGGCACCCACACTACCAGAAGAAGGTGTTGGATCCCCTAAAACTGGAGGTATAGTCAGTTGTGAACCCACATCAGCTGGGAGCTGAGCCCAAGCCCTCTGCACCTCTGCAAGAACACAAAGTGCCACTTCTCCTGACATGCTGTTCGCCCCCCCCCCCCCCCCCCGTCCCTGTCCCCGTCCCCTGGCTGAAACAAAAGGACGCGCTTTCGACTCCCCCAGGTCCCAGCCCTATAGAGGCGATTAAGAATAGGCTCTGTACTGTAAACAAGCATGTCTTCAAGGTTTAGGGAGGCCAAGCAGAAGAAGGTAAGCTGACACAGTATGAACGAGACGGGCAGAGGCCTTGGGCAACTGCCGAGGGCAGCAACTGGACTGGGAGAAGAGTGGCGCAGTCACAGAAGGGAATCCGTGTGATTCTCCTAGTGACTGGGACTATATGATTGACAACCTTATAAACTCAGCACTGGAAGGAAAATGGCATGGGACAGAAACTGTGGCCACTGAGAAACAGCTGAGAATCTGCCAGTCATGCTCAAAACATATTCTTTGCAACTGCACCACCCTTCCATACACACAGGTAGCACAGCAACCTGGCTCTGGTCATGCCATGGGTCTACCTTCTAGACTTCTCCAGCAGACAGTCTGCTCTGTTGGGCTGCCCAGCACCGCCAGGTTTTAGCACTGATACACCAGCACCTCCAGGAGACTCAGGATGGCTGGACACCTCCTTTTGTGATGACTCTGCACTTGAGCTTCGGAAGCAGAGCCCTGTCCACTAGGAGCAAGCCGGGGAAAGGGTGTCGGAGTGACTCAGACTCAGATGAGGCTAAGAAGTCCTGAGGAGGGAACATTATTTAAAGGTGTGTCTAAGAGTCAGTCAGTGCGAGAATAGTTATGAATGCGGCCCAACACAAAACGGTAAATGTACTTAAAACATTGTAAGGGCTTTTTTTGGTGTGTGTGTGTGTGTGCGCTGTTTTCCATGTATATGTGACTGCAAGGATATTTTTGTATATGTATTCATCTGTGTGCATGCATGTGTGTTTGGAGATCAGAGAAAAATAGCAGGTGTCGTCCTCAATTGCTCTCTACCTTATTTTATTTTATTTTATTGAGTTGGAATTTCATTTTGTAGCCCTGGCTAGCCTGAAACCCACTATGTAGACCAGACTGGCCTTGAAGCCTCAGAGAGCTGCCTGTCTCTGCACATGCTCCCATGTCTGGCTCCCCCTTATTAAAGGAAGGAAGGAAGGAAGGAAGGAAGGAAGGAAGGAAGGAAAAAGGAAAGGAGAGGAAAGAAAAGAGAAAAGAAAAAAGATGATGATCTAGGTATGGTGTCGCATGCCTTTGATCCCAGCTCTTGGGATGGAGAGGGGCAGAGATAGCAAATCTCTGAGTTTGGGGCTAAGCTGGTTTACATGGCAAGTTCCAGGTCAGCTAGGGCCATATAGTGATACATTACCTTAACAAAAGAAAGAGAGAGAGAGAGAGAGAGAGAGAGAGAGAGAGAGAGAAGCAATAGAAGAAGACAAGACATCTGGCCTCCATGAGTGTGTGTATGTGTGCAAACACACATCCCTCTCATATGTGTACAACACTCTGTGTGTGTGTGTCTCGGAATGTAAATAGTGATTACCTGAAGGCTTACTGAGCACCGACTGCTGTGAGCTCAATGCTCTGTAGCCTGATTGAAGTTCCTGGCCTGGTGCTAGCAAGTTTACATCCATCAGTTTTCTAGGTGATGTGGCTGATTCTGACCTCCACACATGGAGGTCCACAGACCCAGGAATTCTGCATTCTCTTAATTTAAAAAGCAGTGTTTTCACACACCTCTGTCTATCTAGGAGTCACAAGTACTCCGGACAGCTGCGGGAAAACTCAGTTTTTAGCAGCCTGGATGCATAGTTTCTCAGCCTTCTCCTTTAGTCCTCTAGCTACTGTGTGAGGCAGGGATTGCCTCTATTGTGCAAATGAAGGGACAGAGCTCACACTTTTAACTCCATCACACAGACTGATTTCTATGAGTTGGAGACCATCTAGTCTACTTTGTGAGGTCCTGGCCAGCTAAGGCTACATAGTGACCCTGTCTCAAATAACAAAAACAAAAGAGAGGGCAGGGATGGGCAAACCCTCAGAAGTAACCTTGAATAGTATAGACTGGGTGGAGGACATTGGGGTGGAAATATGGTCTTAGTTAAGGTTTACTATTGCTGCACAGAGACACCATGACCACGGCAACTCTTATAAGAAAAACATTTAATGGAGGTTCAGTTCATTGTGATTATGGCCAGGAGCATGGCAGCATACAGGCAGACGTGATGCTGGAGCTGAGAGTGCTACCTCTTGACTCAGAGGCAGCAGGAAGTCCAGTGACTGTTAAACTGAGTAAAGCTTGAGAAAAAGCCCACCCCCACAGTGACACACTTCCTCCAACAAGGCCACACCTCCTAGTAGTACCACTCTCTCTGGGGTCATTCTCTTTCAAACCACTACAGTTGTATTATCCTAATCCTGGGGAGACGCGAACAAACGTTACTCACTCCAGGTTAGGATCCCACGGTAGACCAAGGCGAAGATACCGCCAGAGTAAAACATGGTGAACCAATGAGTTTTACTGGGATTACTTAGAGGAGCAGCAATGACTCAAAGACAGCTGCTTCACGAAGACCCGCCTCAGCACGGTGACAGCTCATGAATGCTGGACTTCTGGAGCACACAGCACAGCCTGCAGGCAAGCCGCACATCTGGAGCACACTGCACAGCCTGCAGGCAAGCCGCACATCTGGAGCACACTGCACAGCCTGCAGGCAGCTCAACAGGTCTGATGCCCTTTCCATGTGACTCAGTTGGTCTGGTCCTTCTCCAGAGAGATCATCTTGTCTCTGTTTTCCATGCAGTTCACCTTGGCTGAGGGCAACTCTCAGCCGTCCCTACTGCTTAAACAGCCCAGGGAAGGGAGGGGCTAAAGAATCTGGTCAGTTTCCAGGACTTCCTCTATAAAGTTACACACCTCACACATTGCTGGATAGCAATGGTGTAGTCCCTCGAGCAATTATAACCTTAGTATTGGATCAGACACAGCCTGAGGTCTCCTGTGACTTTCCTTCTGGTCGGATTACTCTGGCTACAGTCTGACCTCTGAAGAAGCCACAGCCTCTTCAATCAAGAGGACAAGGGACTTATCAGAGGGTCTCATTGTCCCCTGGGTCCTAGCTGACCTTGGAGGTCAAAGGCCACACTGCTACGTTTCTTCTTTGAATCTCTTCCCCTAACTGGTGTAGACTCCCAAGGTTTTCTGAAGGACAACCTTACCAGTCTTGTCATTTTAACTCTGTGTCACAGTTAGGTAAAGCTTAGACAATTTTAAACAACCCAAGCAGTTTTACATAAATCTTGGCTTTGCTGTGACTTGGTTTCCCCACATGATTAAAGTCTAAGCCAGCAAAAATATAAATAATTACCTGGATTAGACATTAATTTTTGGTTTTTTGGTTTTAAGATTTATTTATTTATTTACTATATATACAGTGTTCTCCCTGCAGGCTAGAAGAGGGCACTAGATCTCATTACAGATGGTTGTGAGACACCATGTAGTTGACTGGGAATTGAACTCAGGGCCTCTGGAAGAACAATCAGTGCCTTTAACCACTGACCCATCTCTCCAGCCCCACATTTTTGTTCTTTTAAGCCAGTTTTTGGAAATACTATCACAAGTTGATCAGTATAATGTTGCAGAATATTTGTTTAACTGTGCAAAGATATGTTGCATTTGTTTAACTATGTAAACATGTGTTGGATTTGTTTAACTATGTAAAGATGTGTTGAATTTGTTTAACTATGTAAAATAAAGATGTGTTGGATTTGTTTACCTATGTAAAGATGTGTTGGATTTGTTTACCTATGTAAAGATGTGTTGGATTTGTTTACCTATGTAAAGATGTGTTGGATTTGTTTACCTATGTAAAGATGTGTTGCATTTGTTTAACTATGTAAAGATGTGTTGCATTTGTTTAACTATGTAAAGATGTGTTGCATTTGTTTAACTATGTAAAGTTGTGTTGCTGTTTAACTTGCCTGCCCAAAGCACCTGATTAATCTAATAAAAAGCTGAATGGCCAATAGCGAGGAAGGAGGTCTAGGTGGGACTTCTTGGCAAGGAACATAAACAAGAGGAGGAGTTTAGGCTGGGGGAAGAAAGAAAAAAGACACTAGAGAGGTGCCAGGACCAGCCAGCCAGGAAGTAGAAAGCAGGACATACAGAATGAAGATAAAAAGCCCTGAGGCAAAATGAAGATGAGTAAAGATAGGTTAAATTAAGTTAAAAGAGTTAGCGGGACAAGCCTAGGCTAAGATTGAGCATTCATACTCAATAACAAGTCTCTGTGTCTTTATTGGGAGCTGTTGGTTACCCAAAGAAAATTCCAACTACAGTATAATTTTGGGGGTTTAAAAGATTTATTAAAGCCGGGCGATGGTGGCGCACGCCTTTAATCCCAGCACTTGGGAGGCAGAGGCAGGCGGATCTCTGTGAGTTCGAGACCAGCCTGGTCTACAGAGCTAGTTCTAGGACAGGCTCCAAAGCCACAGAGAAACCCTGTCTCGAAAAACCAAAAAAAAAAAAAAAAGAAAAAAGAAAAAGAAAAGATTTATTAAATCTATTTTATGTGTTTAAGTGTTTTATTTGCATGTATGTAGGTCCACCATAAGCATGCTTCATGTCTGCGGATGTCAGACAAGGGCTTCTGATCCCCTGTTGTGAGCAACCATGTGGGTGCTGGGAATTAAACCCAGGTCCTCTATAAGACCAGCAAGTGCCCATAACAGCTGAGCGATCTCTCCAGGCCAGTCTTAGAAAGAGTAATAAACTTTAATCATCCAGCATATGGATCATCCTTAAATTCTATCTTTGTATGGTTTATTTGAATTCCTTGTGGCTTGGCTTTAGGCTTTCATTGGCTCCATCGCTTATTTTTCATTCTTAGAACAAAATCTTTTTAGCATAAAAAGTCCACCCTTATCCAAAAATTCCCTTTTCCTTTTTACCCTTTTAACAAAAGCATAACCTTATACTTAGATTATTCTCAGCAATTCTCTCACACCCACTTACTGTTTCTTTCTTGTTTCATGCCTCTGTATGTCTGCAGGCCAGAAGAGGGCACCAGACCTCATTACAGGTGGTTGTGAGCCACCATGTGGTTGCCGGGAATTGAACTCAGGACCTTTGGAAGAGCAGACAATGCTCTTAACCACTGAGCCATCTCTCCAGCCCCCAAGCAAATGCCTTTCTAATAAACTTTAGAGATAAAAGGTTTACAAAAGGATTGTCAAGACTTTTTATTACGCAAACAGGTTTGTGTTATGAACCAAAAAAACAACCAAATAAAAGATAACTAACTTTTAAAATTTTTATTTTACTTTTTAATTATATGTATCTGTATGGGGGGGGGGGCATGTAGGATATGTGCAGGTGCCTTCATAAACCAGAGACATCAGATCCGCCAGAAACTGGAGTGGCAGGTTGTATCAAGCCATCTGATGTGGGTGCTGGGAATTGAACAGGGGTCTTCTGCATGAGTGGAGGCATCTCTTCAGTTTCAATTAATTAAATTTTAGACTTGTTGATTTTATGTGTGAGGGGTGGGGGCTCATGGCCCTGAGGCTGGGCCCAATTTTCTGTGTGGATCTGTATCCTTAGCCTGAGGATTTGTTAACTGAAATTCTAGAAATAAATCAGGAAGTGACCAGGAAAGCAACTGGAAATTTAGCTTGCCAGTGCCCCCATATTTGATGCTTTTGTCTCTCCTTCAGTAACTGTACCATATGCTTTAGGAAATCTAAACCTTTGAGGCCTTTCAAGCAACTCTCAGAGACCGTGTCTCACACTGTAGTCCAGGCTAGCACGAAATAATGTAGGCACGACAATCCTTCTGTCTCATCCACCTGAGGGGTGGGCTGTAGTGATATTCTCTTCTCCTTGCTTTAGCGTCTTTGCTCAAATTGCCCTTTGTTCACATATCTTTCCAAGGTACTTGTCACCACTGCCTAGGTCCCAAACGTGAGACCCTCAAATGCTCAATTTTGCCTGCTGGGCGCATCATACCAGCAGCAGCCTGAGGGGCCTCACTGTCTGTTTGCTTAAGATGTGCAGGGCCTGAACTAAAAGAAAACTTAAAGGAGGCTGGCCATGGTCTCTCTCTCTCTCTCTCTCTCTCTCTCTCTCTCTCTCTCTCTCACACACACACACACACACACACACACACACACACACACACTTCAGCAGTGGAGGCAGAGGCAGGCAGCCAACTGTGAGTTAGAGATCAGCCTGATCTACAAGGGGAGACTCAAAGAGGAGAGAACACAACAACCACAGACCTACAAACAAACATAAAGACAATGATGGGGCAAAAGGAAACTGGGGTCTCTCCTTCCTCTTTTTTGTAGTATCGGAATTCCTTGCTAAATCGAGAACCACAGGGCCCTCAGATGGCAACCAGACCACAGGAACCAGTCTTTCGGAAAGGAAGGCGATACGAAGTTAGGGAGGACAAGATGGAGAGGCCAGAGTCCTCCAGTCTCCACCTGAAGCCTAAAATTCTACTGAAAATGTCCAGACCCTGGTAGATTCAAGGGGCCTCTCCTCCTGGGCTTCCTACCATCAGGTCACACCACTCACCTAACTTGCCTTACAACATTTGGCATCAGCGCCCCCTCCCGTCAAACCGTGAGAGGAAAGTCTGGTTAGAATTTGGTGCCCGCTAGGGGCCGGGAAAGAGTGTGCTGACGGCCATCTTTATTAGGGGCAGAAGCCGCGGCTACGAAGAGCGAGTGAGGCCACGAAACTGTCGACTGCAAGCTGGTGAATCCAGGCGCCCGCGGGTGTGGAGCGCCGCGGGATGCGGGGAGGTGTCGGGCGTTAGGTTCGTTTGGGAACCGCCGTACTATGGCCTGGGCACCCCGATCCGGTGGCCTTCTACTTCCTCTCTCTAACGTACCACCGTCGTGGGCGCATCCTGTGAGCGCTGGGAATGAGCGGGGCGAGGGGAGTCGCGGAGGGCCTGGGCTGCTCGCTGCGGGGGGCGTCCCGCGCCGGGACTCCGACAGACAGCCGTGGGAGCCCACATCGGCCAACGGCCCGATGCCCTTCGCTCTGCAGCGGCTCCGGGCCACGTTGCTCCGTCTGCACCGCGAGCGGGAGCAGCTCCTGCGGGCCCGGGACTGCGCCCGCCACCTACAGGCGGTCGTGCGGCTGCTCCGCTCCAGCCCGTCGGCTAGTGCCCTCTCCCTGCAGCAGCTGCACGGCGACCTGCAGCTGTGCCCTTCGCGTGGGGCGGCTCTGCGCCTCGGCCTCCCGGGCTCCACCGAGTCGCTTCTCCTGGCTCGTCCCGTCGGGCTAGCAGCGCAGCGCCTGGATGCTGCCATTGAGATGCAGCTTCGCGCCCTAGGTCGGGCACCCGCCAGCCTGGGCCTGACGTCCCAGCTAGCCGAACTGTTGCTGGTCCTTCCCTTCTACCACACGCTACAGAGACAAGTCGTGAGCTGCGTTCCTGGGGCCGCGCGCCCATTCCCCGCGACCCGTGTACTCCATCTCTTGGCTGCTGAGCGGGGTTGTCAGGTGGCACACAGACTGGCTGAGGCCCTTGGTGGCTCGAGTTTACAAGACCAACTCCGTCGGCAGTGCGACGAGGAACGAGAGCTGCTGCCAGGGCTGCTCGGTCTAATAGGGGGCGTGGCTAGCACCGACAGCAGTGGACTGAGGCTCGGAGGGCCCGGAGCCCTGTGGAGCCAGTATTGGACCTTGTTGTGGTCAGCCTGTGCTCAGAGTCTGGAACTAAGCGTGGGACCCTGGGGGGACCCCAGAGCAGTGGCCCAACAGCTGAGTCAGGCACTGTGTCAAGGTGAGTGAGAAATCCAAGCTGGCATGTGGGGGTTGTGGTGAGGGTCTCTCTCTCTCTGCGTTTACCTTAATCGGCTCACTCATCTCTAGCCTGTCAGCAAGAGCAGGTCCTTTAGAATGAACTTCCCTGAGTTTATAGATTAAGATTTCCCAGGTTACCTTTGCTTCCCAACCTGTCTTTGTTTTGAGGTAGGGTTTTTACTAGGTAGTCCACACTGGCCTCAAACTCCTGTGTCAGCTTCCCACGGGCTGAGAGCCACTGTGACTGACTTTGCACCCTGGTTTGAGTGGTAGAGGCCTGTAAACAGGGAGGTTTTGTTTTCCGGCCCTCACCATCTCTCCCATCAGCATCCCTGCCTCAGGAGTGTGAGAAGGAGCTGTTGTCTCTGTGTCACAGCCTGCATCATCAGTCTCTTGTATGGAGCTGGGACCAAGGTAAGGAGAGAGGGATATTGGGGGTGGCCCAAAGAGTCAGTTTGCTTCCCCCTTCAGACTATATTCTGTCATTTCAGGGTTCTGCCAGGCCTTGGGCTCATCCCTGGCGGGTCAAAGCAGCCCTGTTTCACTATCTCAGACTGCTGAGCTGTTGCAGCGGCTTTTTCCTCCGCTTTTGGACACCCTTCGAGAGCCTAAGTCGGAACTTAGCCTGTGTCTTCCTCCAGGTGAGACAGGTGTGGAATGGGGTAGGAGGCAGAGCAGTTGATACCTTTTTCCTTCTCTCTGTTCTGAAGACCTCATGAAGGTAGCCCACAGACCCTAGGATACTCTTCTCTTCCCCTCCAGGTCCTGCACCTGTTGCTCTGGGGCTCTGTACCCTGCAGACAACCTTGATCTGGTTCTTGGGCAGAGCTCAGCATCACCTGGCAGCCTGGGCCCCTGGCTCCTTCCTGCTCCTGATCCAAAAGGATTTGCCTGTGAGTATCCAGGAAGCAGGGAAGGGAGCAGCCTGCCCTGAACTGAGCCCTCACTCCCTGTTTCCACTGAAAGCCTCTACTGCGTGTAGTGGAAGATCTGTCCAGCGTGGCCTCGGAGGCAACCTTAACCCTGGATGTGGAGCAGCAGCTGGGCCTGGAGATCCAGAAGCTAACTGCAAAGATGCAGGTAAGAACACAGATGCAGGTGAGAGCATAGATAGATGTAGGTGAGAGCACAGGTGCGGGTGAGAGAGCACAGGTGTGGGTGAGAGCACAGGTGCAAATGAGAGAGCACAGGTGCAGGTGAGAGCACAGATAGATGTAGGTGAGAGCACAGGTGCAGGTGAGAGCACAGATAGATGTAGGTGAGAGCACAGGTGCAGGTGAGAGAGCACAGATAGATGTAGGTGAGAACACAGGTGCAGGTGAGAGAGCACAGGTGTGGGTGAGAGCACAGGTGCAGGTGAGAGAGCACAGGTGCAGGTGAAAGAGCACAGGTGCGGGTGAGAGCACAGATAGATGTAGGTGAGAGCACAGGTGCAGGTGAGAGAGCACAGGTGCGGGTGAGAGCACAGATAGATGTAGGTGAGAGCACAGGTGCAGGTGAGAAAGCACAGATAGATGTAGGTGAGAGCACAGGTGCAGGTGAGAGAGCACAGGTGCAGGTGAGAGAGCACAGGTGCGGGTGAGAGCACAGGTGCAGGTGAGAGCACAGATAGATGTAGGTGAGAGCACAGGTGCAGGTGAGAGAGCACAAGTGCAGGCGAGAGAGCACAGGTGCGGGTGAGAGCACAGGTGCAGGTGAGAGAGCACAGGTGCGGGTGAGAGCACAGATAGATGTAGGTGAGAGCACAGGTGCAGGTGAGAAAGCACAGATAGATGTAGGTGAGAGCACAGGTGCAGGTGAGAGAGCACAGGTGCAGGTGAGAGAGCACAGGTGCGGGTGAGAGCACAGATAGATGTAGGTGAGAGCACAGGTGCAGGTGAGAGAGCACAAGTGCAGGCGAGAGAGCACAGGTGCGGGTGAGAGCACAGGTGCAGGTGAGAGAGCACAGGTGCGGGTGAGAGCACAGATAGATGTAGGTGAGAGCACAGGTGCAGGTGAGAGAGCACAGGTGCGGGTGAGAGCACAGGTGCAGATGAGAGCACAGGTGCGGGTGAGAGCACAGATAGATGTAGGTGAGAGCACAGGTGTGGGTGAGAGAGCACAGGTGCGGGTGAGAGCACAGATAGATGTAGGTGAGAGTACAGGTGCAGGTGAGAGAGCACAGGTGCGGGTGAGAGCACAGGTGCAGATGAGAGCACAGGTGCGGGTGAGAGCACAGATAGATGTAGGTGAGAGCACAGGTGCAGGTGAGAGAGCACAGGTGCGGGTGAGAGCACAGGTGCAGGTGAGAGAGCACAGGTGCAGGTGAGAGCACAGATAGATGTAGGTGAGAGCACAGGTGCAGGCGAGAGCACAGGTCCAAGTGAGAGCAGAGCCCCTGATAGTGGCAGTGTGTGCCCCAACTAGGGAATGAGCAGAGTAGAATCTGTACCTTGCAATCTCCTTGGAGTCTCCACTAAATTCACTTTTTCTTTGTTGGTTTCTTGTTCTGCCTTAGTCTTTACTATGGAAAAATTTCAAATATGGTCGTCACAGTAATCAGCTCATGGTCAGTTATGATTCGCACCCACCTGCTAATAGTGAAAGCCACTGACATCATTGCTTAGACTTATTTCATTAGCGACTGCAAAAAGTGGTATTCCATAATTACATCTTTCACTGTTCCTGCTAATGTTCAGTTCAATGGTCCTTCTCTCTTTAGGTTTAATGTGTGTGTTTGCTTGCTTATTTTGTTTTGTTGAGACAGGTTCTCACTATGTCATTCTGGCTGGTCTGGAACTCGATATGTTGACAGGGCTAGCCTAAAACTCAGAGTGATTTGCCTGCCTCTGCTTCTTAAATGCTGAGTTTAAAGGTGTATGCCATCACATCTTAATTTATAGTTTTATTGAAGTAGTACATGTCTACAGTTTAAAAAGTAAAATGTAGCTGGGCGGTGGTGGTGAAAGCCTTACTCCCAGCACTCAGGAGACAGAGACAGGCAGATCTCTGAGTGCAAGTTCCAGGACAGCCAAGGCTGTCTCAGAGTAAAACAAAACAAAAAAGAAAGATGTAAACTGGGGCTGTGGCTAACAGTAAAGCATGGGCTGATCATGTAGCAAGACTTTCTTTGATTCCAACTATGAGCAGGAAAGGTGGGGGGAAGCAGCAAGGTGGTTCTGACAACCTGAACTCATCTCCAGGGTCCATGTGGGGAAGAGAGAGAACCAGTGTCTGCAAGTTGTCCTCTCCATATGTAAGCATACCAACACACACACACATGCATGTGCACACACATACACACACGCTTGCACACGCGCAGAGAGAAAGGTGGGGAGAGGGAGGTTAAAAAGTAAAGTATTGCTGGGCAGTGGTGGCGCACGCCTTTAATCCCAGCACTCGAGGGGCAGAGGCAGGTGGATCTCTGTGAGTTCAAGGACAGCCTGGTCTACAAGAGCTAGTGCCAGGACAGGCTCCAAAGCTACAGAGAAACCCTGTCTCGAAAAACTAAATAATAATAATAAAAAAGTAAAGTATTATTTTTTAAGACCTCTAATGAGAACAATTCCACCTTCTTTCTGTGGTTGGTTGGTTGTTTCCCCCTCTCTCTGAATCATTCCTGAGCCTCATGTGTGCTAGATAAGCTCCATGTCACCAAGCTATGTCATCAGCCCCTTACTGTACGTGATTTCCTTCGGCATTTATTGATAAAGCTTTTCTGTCTTAATTCTGTCCCATTTTGCACACTATTGCTCCCTACTGTGGAAAATGTAGAATATGAGGTTCTTTTCACTTTCTCCTGTGCGACTGTTGAGTCCCTGCTGATTCTCAGCTCTTTGCTTTGCTTTTCTGCTCGCCAAGCATCTTGCTGCTGTGAGCTCACACCTCAGTTCTCCTGAATCCCAGACAGTCCAGCAACTGTTTGGCATTTCTTCCATGGTTACTGTTGTTGCCCAGAGTACGGGATCATGAGTAAGACCTGACAGTGATGTTTTGGGAACCTAAAGGAGAACCGTGGCAGGTGTGAACATTGTGGAGTGTTCCATAAAGTACCTGAGGCTTAACCAGTGGCTGGGCAGCCTCTTGAGTAGCAGGACAGTTCTCAGCCTGAGTAGCAGGCAGCCTCAGAGTAGCAAGAGCGGGTTCCCCATAGGGTCTTCTTGGGGAACCGAAGCTGATAGCTGATATGCTTGCTCTGCTGATATAAATGCTCAATCTCTCTCTCTCTCTTCTGTATGTGTGTGGGCTCATGTGTGTCAGAAAAGGAGTGTGGGAACTGGCAGACTAAGCGAGTTAGTATTAAATCATCGGAGGCAAGGCCAGGTGTGCTAGTGTACACCTTTAGTCCTGGTACAGAGGAGGCTGACGCAGAATTTTGAGTTTGAGGCCAGCCTGGGCTATATGGAACATATAAGGCCAACTTGGGTTAGACAATAAGACCCTGTGAAGATGGGAGGGAGGAGAAAACGCCATGTTGGAGAAGGGAAGAGTTTAGGCTTAAACAAGTCAGATGTGCCAGGAACCCAATGGCTGCCTTTCCTCCCTTTAGCTTCTTGGGATCACACAGCCATATCTTTCTTTGTTCTCTTTTGTTCTTTCTTTCCCCCTCTCCCCTTCTTGTTTTATGAAAGAGTACACTCGAACTGGCCTCATGGAACTTGCGATTCTCCTGCTTCAGCTTCCCGACCTGGAGTTATAGCATATGCCATTGTGCTCAGCTCACATTTTGACAACTTCTGCCAAATGCCCCATTTTTCAGATTCTTCTCTGTGAGATAAGCAGCAAAGCAAAGACCCTGGTTATCGCTGTCTTCTCCCTTTCACAAAAGACAGCCTGCTGCGATAGTCCCCTTTTATTATTTACTTTGCAGATGGCAAAGAATACTTAATGAAAAGGACATTTCAAAGGCTCCTGAATGCCAGAATCACAGCCATGGACCCTGGTCTGCATCCACTGCCTTCCTTTTTTGATGTAGCCAGATCATTTTCATTTCCCCCTTTGCCTCAGCCCCTGCCTGGCCTGACCAGAGCACACAGACCCACCTGTCTACTATATGCTTCTGACAGGTCATAAGCCAACTTGGCTTTTGTTTTTATTTCTTGAGACGGTGTCCAGACTGGCCCCAAGCTTATTATATAGCTGAGGTTGGTCATGAATTCCTGATGCTCCTGCTTCCACTTTCCAAATGCTGGGAGTACAGGCATGTAGGTAGACCTTTATGCCTCCTCCCCACACCAGTCAGTTCCCAAATAACCACACGGAGACTTTTTAATTTTGAATGCTCGGCTGATAGCTTAGACTTGTTTTTAACCAGCTCTTAAACTTAAATTAACCCATTTCTGTTCATCTGTGTGCTGCCCCTAGGCCCACTTACCTCATCTGTGTGCTTTTTATGTTGCTTCTTCCGAGTTGGGCTGGCGATTCCTGAGATTCCTCCTCCTTCATCCCAGCAGTCTCATAGTCTGGTTTTCCTGCCTAACCTCACTCTGCCTAGCTATAGGCCAGAAAGCTCCTTTATTAAAACAATCACAGTGGCATATATTCACACAGTGTGAAGGAATATTCCACACAGGTCTATAACCCAACATGCCTGACTTGTCATGTGCCTCTGACTACTAAGAACTGGTAATCCTACATACTGTGCCCAGTTTGGGTCCAAACCTCATGGAAACTTCAGTTAAAGTTGCAACATTTCTCCTTAGAAAATGCCCAGGCTCCCACAGTGATGCATGGATTCGGGGTTTCACAGACCCCATGCTGAGCCCTCAGAAGGGAGAAGCACCATCTCATCAGTATAACCCATGGGCCCTTCCTACTTTCCTCCCCCTCTACAGCTCTTGCCCGAAGAGTCGCTGAGTCTCTTTTTCCAAGAATGCCATAAACAAGCCACACAGGGCTTCAAGATCCACATGCCAAGGGGTCGATACTGGAGGCTTCGACTGTGCCCTGGTAATTTTTCTCTTTTTTCTCTGTAGTGCTGGGGAAGAAACCCAGGACTTCACACATGCTAGGCTAGCAAGCCCTACCGACTGAGAGAGACACACAGAAACCCCAGCCCACTGTCTTGGTAACTCCTCAGGTCCACCTTCTCCTTCCAAGGGCTCCCAGCATGAATGACTCAACACCACTGTCAGCATCCTTGTTCTTACCTTTGTGCCCTTCCCTCTGGTGCCCACCGGATTTCTAGAGTGTCACAATCTGTCCTTACTCTTCTCTCTCTCCAGAACATCCCAGTGCTCCTAGTGAGTATGCAGGGATGGTGGTCTGCACTGTGCTGGAGCCTGTGTTGCAAGGACTGCAGGGATTGCCACCCGAAGCCCAAGTCCCCGCCCTCAGCCAGGCACTGACAGCCATACTGGGTGCCTGGCTTGACCACATCCTCACCCATGGGATCCGGTTCAGGTGGGAAGGAAAGATGGTCGTGGCAGAGGGAGAATGTCAACAGGGAAAATGGAGAACACTGGGGCAGAGCAGTCTGGGGAGGCGCGTGTCAGGTGGCCACATTGTACCTGGACATCTAGTCTGCAGGGGGCGCTGCAGCTCAAACAAGACTTCGGAGTGGTCAGGGCAGTTCTGGAACAGGAGCAGTGGGGCCTGGCTCAGGAGCTTCGCCAGACTCTACTCTCACTCAGCATCTTCCAGCGGCTAGATGGGGCCCTGCTGTGTCTACTGCAGCAGCCCCTGCCCAAGAATCCAGGCCACAGAAGACCTTCCTGTTGTTGTGAGTCATTCATTACCCCTCCCCAATCCCAGGTTTTCCTAAGTCCCTCCATCACTGCTTTAAGAGACCACACCCCCATCTCATCATTGGCATTAGCATCACCCACCAACCTGCCTTCCACGCCTGCCTTTTCAGGTTTTTGTAATGAAGTCCAGACTACTGAACTGCCCACCAGCAACCTCAACAGCCTGGAGAACTTGGCACCCCCTCTACGGCCTGGAGTCTCCCCAGCTCAGAACATGCACCTGCGAAGCACCCTAGGAGGAGGAGGAGGACCCAGTCCTGAGGCTTACCTGGCTGGAAACCAGCAGGCCTGGCTTGCCCTAAGACTGCACTCTCACCCTCGGTGGCACCTATCCTTTCTTTCCTGCCTGGGAACAAGCCCTGAGCCCTAGGTTGCCTAGGACCAGGAGTTCCAAATCGTGAGCAGTTAAGCTCCAGTCGAGGAACTGTGTGTTAGAGAGGCTTAAAATCGGGATCTCGGGAGAACACGTATATAAACTACACAGTCTGGAATTGAATCCAAGGTCATCCTAGTACCTGGAATCCAGAGTAATGGGCAAACTACAGCCGGAAATCTGAAAGTCCGTGACAATGAAGACAAGAGCTAGAAATAGCTAGATTTACAGGGTTGGCTCGCAAGAGACAGAAGCAATCTATATGCTTTCTCTTGAATCCCAGCAACAAGGCTAAAGTTAATTAATTCATGGGGAAACAGAGGGAGCAAGCATTTCTACACGTGGAGAACTTGTCTTAAGCCTTCCCTGTTTCTATTTTTAGTCATTAGGCTGTAGGACCTTGACAACATTTAAACTGTTCAATTACCAGGTGAGGCTTGCTTCCTGGTGGGGTGGACAGTCCCTGCTGTGGTAATCCTTCATCGGAAGCAGCCAGGATTTAGGATGGTGTTGACCTAGATCTAGCAGGCAGGATGCTGAACGGGCAAAGCTGCAGGAGACGAAGTGTTTTCGTGCAAAGGGGGTTTTTGCACATTCACTGTCTACGCTGCGTGTCGCACAGGGTAAGGCTAACGCCTGAAGTATTCGCGGACCGCCCACCCTGGGTTCCTTGGCGGCCCGGGAGGGCAGCCGCTACAGGTCCCGCAGAGACCGCCGGAAGCGGCCCATCCAATAAAGCGATCCCCAGCACTACTTCCGGGGGAGAGGTAACCATGGCGGCGGCTTTAGCTCGGCTGGGACTGCGGCCGGTCAAGCTGGTTCGAGTTCAGTTCTGCCCGTTTGAGAAGAACGTGGAATCGACAAGGTACGGGTTCTGGGGAGGTGGGAGGCGTCCGCGCTCCCGACGCCTGCGCGCGCACCCCCGACCCCCCTGCCCGAGTTCCAAGGCCTCTCAGACCCGCGCTCCCTGCCTCGTGCACGCCCCTTCGTCCCCGGGCGCGCTCACGGGGTCCTCCCACCGCAGGACCTTTCTCCAGGCGGTGAGCAGCGAGAAGGTCCGTGCCACAAACCTCAACTGCTCGGTGATCGCCGACGTGAGGCACGACGGCTCCGAGCCCTGCGTGGACGTGGTATTCGGTAGGCCTGACTGGGACGCGGGCGGGCGACGGCGGACTCCGGGTCTCTGACTCATCGGTTTGCATCTTCCCCAGGGGACGGGTATCGGCTGATTATGCGCGGCGCCCACCTCACTGCTCAAGAAATGTTCACTGCCTTCGCCTCCCACATTCGGGCCAGGAACGAAGCGGCAGCATCCGCACCCAGCACAGACAAGCCGGGCTCAGTTAAGCCGGGCTCAGTTACTGGTACCCGGCGCTGACATTGCAGAAGAGGACAACTACCGAATGTTAACTTGGAACTAGAGACAGTTGACTAAGAAGAGCTGGGCTTAATCATTTTAAAGCCTCCATGGGTGTCATGAAACTGACAGTGTGCAAGGAACCCTGACACTTAACAGTGCTTTGGGGGCAAAATAAGTGAGATTAGGTGGTGAAGGGTCAGGACAAAGTTGAATTTTTCTATCTCTTCCCTCACTCCTTAATCATATTTGAACTTGGCTTCATCTGTCGCTCAAGTACTGTTTAATTAAATATTTATTGCCGAATGAATGTTATTTTGCGCAGGTTGTTTGCTTGGTTGATTTTCGAGACAGGCTCTTGTCATGAGCTAACCTGAGACTTGGTATGCAGCCCAAGGTGGATTCTTCTCCCTCAGACTCCTGAGTGCTGGGATTATAGATGAACATCACCACACCAGGCTTCAGGCCTCATCGTTCTTGGTAGTTTTGTCTACTCTTAGTAGTTTTCTCTTTTTTTAGTAGTTCTTGTTTACTCTCATAAGGAGTCTGTCTTAGTTAGGGTTTCTATTGCTGTGACAAGACACCGTGACCATGACAACTCTTATAAAGGAAAACCATTTAATTGGGGCTGGCTTACTGTTTCAGAGGTCCATTATTGCCTTGGTAGGAATCATGATGGCATACAGACATGGTGCTGTAGAAGGACTTGAGAGTTCTATATCTTCATCTATAGGCAGCAGGAAGAAACGATAACACATTCCTCCAACGAGGCCACATGAATCTGTGGGAGCCATTTCTTCTCAAACCACCACAGAACCACCCATTCTGTCATAATTTAAACTGCTCCGGACTTAAGCCCTACGTTTCTGTTTAGTTTTAACCCCAACTTCTGTGGTTACCTGCTCCCAATTTCCTTCATATGCCACCAATATTCTTTCCTTAAAGTGGGGTCAGCCCCACCTGGTGGCACAGACCATCCCAGCTACTCAGGAGGCCAGCCTGATCTATTTAGCAAGACCTTTCCGTTCTCACTCCTTCTCCTGTACCACTTGGCATTCTCCTTCCTGGTGACATTTTCCCGAATCATTTTTTGCTGCTACTTAATCTTACTCTTCAGGTACATAATGGCTTATTTCTCAGAGCACCTGAAATAGTTTTTAGTCCAGCAGACATTGATGTGACCATGAAATCATTTTAGAGGATTAAATGGTATAAAAAGTTAGCCATTCATGCTACATGAGTATTCTTTTAGGAAACTTTAGTTTTAAGCAAATAACCATGTGTATTTTATGACATAAAGGCACTCCAATGTGTGTGTGTTTGTGTTTGCAAGTACTGGGTTACAGTACACATTGTTTCTTTTGTTTTTCTGAGACACAATTTCTCTACGTAACAGCCTTGGCTGTCCTGGAACTTGCTCTATAGACTAGGCTTGCTCTGTAGACCTGTCTTCCCCAGGATTCCATTCCTCAGTGCTGAGGTTACTACCCCAGCTGGCTTTTATGCAGGTATACGGATCCCAAGTCAATTTCTCATGCTTTCCCAGCAAGTGCTCAAATCACTGGGCCACCTTCCCAGCCCCCTTGTTTCTTACTATGCATTACAAGGGAAGAAAAAAATAGCCACAGTTACTGCCAAAGAAGAACGTAATGCCCAGTGAAGGTAATCAGGCTGCTATGTAATTTACCAACTACATTAACTGCGGAGCCCCCCTCCGTCCAGCAGTACTATAACTCTTCCCTGCCTAAAAGGATACCAGAGACTTCTCTCTCCACCCTCCTTTTTTTTTTTTTTTTTTTTTTTTTTTTTTTTTTTGGTTTTTCGAGACAGGGTTTCTCTGTGGTTTTTGGAGCCTGTCCTGGAACTAGCTCTGTAGACCAGGCTGGTCTCGAACTCACAGAGATACGCCTGCCTCTGCCTCCCGAGTGCTGGGATTAAAGGCGTGCACCACCACCGCCCGGCATCTCTCCACCCTCCTTTAAGGTACCAGAGACATCTCTCTCCACCCTCCTTTAAGGTACCAGAGGATTCTCTCTCTACCGTCCTTTAAGGTACCAGAGGATTCTCTCTCCACCCTCCTTTAAGGTACCAGAGACTTCTTTCTCCACCCTCCTTTAAGGTACCAGAGGCTTCTCTCTCCACCCTCCTTTAAGGTACCAGAGGCTTCTCTCTCCACCGTCCTTTAAGGTACCAGAGGCTTCTCTCTCCACCGTCCTTTAAGGTACCAGAGACTTCTCTCTCCACCCTCCTTTAAGGTACCAGAGGCTTCTCTCTCCACCCTCCTTTAAGGTACCAGAGGCTTCTCTCTCCACCCTCCTTTAAGGTACCAGAGGCTTCTCTCTCCACCCTCCTTTAAGGTACTAGAGACTTCTCCACCCTCCTCTAAGAAAGACTGCTGCTGTGAGAACCAGCCCTCAGCAGCTCAGGAATTGAAGGGGAGCCATAGACTCAGCAAACTAATCACTCAGTTGACTTTTCTGTGAGGGAGTAAAACTTAATTTAAGTCTCGGGCCTGAGAAAAAGGGAAAACATATAACATACTTTCAGGGTCTCTTTATTCTCTATCTTTATTTTTCCTTTACAGCTTATATATCTCATCAAAATCTTTCAAGCATTATAAAAATTACAGTGTGGTTACATTCTATTTTTCAAGTGAATCATAATGAATACAGGTAAAAAACAACATGTTCCCATTTTCCTTACATGATTAAACATTTTGTGTATTATAAGTAAGAAACAAATTATTCCCAAGAACCAATACATTAATGTCCAAGCAGCTTGTTATAGATTAGCAGAGTATAAGCAAGCAAGCAAGGTATTTTTCTCAGCCAATTCTTTTACTGGCAGGCTGCTTTTTTCAGTGAGAAAGAAAGGATCAATCACTTTATTATTTATCACTAAAGGTAATCTTATAAAAACTTTTAAAAATCACAAATCTAAACTTTTATATATGAAAACCAATCCAGCCGGGCGGTGGTGGCGCACGCCTTTAATCCCAGCACTTGGGAGGCAGAGGCAGGCAGATCTCTGGGAGTTCGAGGCCAGCCCAGTCTACTAGAGCTAGTTCCGGGACAGGCACCAAAGCTACAGAGAAACCCTGTCTTGAAAAACAAAAAAACAAAACAAACAAAAAAAACCAATCCATTATTTCTACTTTCAGTCCTCAGGGTGCATACCCACTCATCAACAGTTTTTTATTAAATCATCAGGAAGCTGAGGGCAGAAATGGCACAAGGAATTAATCACCTTTGATCACCATCCCATCCTAGCAAGAAAGGAACGTCAGCCATCAATAGCCAGACTGCCATTGTTTTTGTTCCCTGACCTCACTGAGTCTCTCACTCAACTATTAAAAATATGTTTTTCTAAACTTTAAACTGTTCCCTAAGGTTTTCTGTCTCAACGCCATGAACAAAATCATCTTAATCTAAACTTAAGTCATACTTAAAGCTTCATTTTAGCTATGATGTACACTGAAACCTGTGAACACATTTCCCAACATTAAGATTAAAAGGTAGCCTAGCTCCTGGAACTCAGCTATTTTCCTTGATCATTAACCTAAGCCACAATCTACGTGGCTCCTCAAGAGAAACTCCTAAGTCCTAGCTGGGTGACAATTTCTAGTTTCTATTTTGTACCC